TTCCTGGAGCTGGTCATACGCATCTACGAGGATCCTAAGATCACAAGAACCGAATTAACTGTTCGGCTAGAGCATGCATTCCTGATTGGCACGCGAGCACAGGATGTTGAAATGCGCAATCGTTTCATGTCAATTTTCGACCGAAGTCTGACCCGTTCAGCAAATACTCGACTTAGCTACGTGCTAACGTCGCAGAACTGGGATACCCTTGCAGACTCATTCTGGCTTACGCAGGCGTCTCAGTTAGTCATTGGTTCGATCGATATGAGCACCCCTGCACGACTACACCCGGAGGACTTCACCGTTTCGCCCACTGCATTCCTCTTTGGAAGTTCGGAAAAGGATCCTAGAAAAGATGGAGTTCTGGTGGACAGCCAGCTAGAGTTGTTAGCTGCTGATAATAGGAAATTCTGCCAAGAGCTTGGAGATGTCAAGGTCCGTGATATTCTTGAACCTCTTTCGCAGCTTCAACACGCAGATTCGAAGGTTGCGTATAGGATCTGGGTGACTCTGTTTACTATTTGCTGGTCTACACTTAATCGTGAGGAACGATCCGACTTGGAGAAGGGGATGGTTACGTTGCTTACACGCGAGTATCATCGGGGGCAAATTGATGAGCGGCCAAATGTCATTCAGGCTCTTCTTGAAGGTGTAGTCAGAGCTAAACCACGCTTTAAGATCCCTCCCCACGTGATGAAATTCCTCAGTCGGACTTATGATGCTTGGTACATTGCCGCCTGTGCTCTTGAAGAGTCTGCTATTAGCCCACTTGTCGATACTCCCGTTGTCCGTGAAAGTAACCTGGACTCCCTCGTTGAGATCTACGCTGGTTTGCAGGAAGATGATCTGTTCTATGGTACCTGGCGCAGACGATGTAAGTTTGTCGAAACCAATGCTGCGCTATCGTATGAACAGCAAGGTATGTGGGATAAGGCACAGCAGCTGTACGAATCAGCCCAGATCAAAGCACGTACCGGCGCGGTCCCTTTCTCACAGGGAGAGTATTTCCTCTGGGAAGACCACTGGATGATTTGCGCCCAGAAGCTGCAACAATGGGAGATCCTGAGTGATTTCGCAAAGCATGAGAACTTTAATGATCTTCTTTTGGAAGCGACATGGAGAAATCTCGATAATTGGCAGGGGGAGGCCAATCGTGATCAGTTGGATTCTTTAATCAAGTCCGTTTCTGATGCTCCGACCCCTCGTCGGACGTTCTTCCAAGCTTTCATGTCCCTTCTCAAGTTCCATGGGAAGCAAGAAAGCCCGCAGGATTTTAATAATATATGTGATGAATCTATCCAACTTTCGATCCGAAAGTGGCACCAGCTACCCAAGAGAATTACCAATGCACATATTCCGATTCTGCAGAATTTCCAACAGCTGGTTGAACTCCACGATGCAAGTGTTATTTGTAGCAGCCTGACTCAGACAAATGAAAGGAATCTGGATACCAAGTCAGCGGAACTGAAACTGCTATTGGCAACCTGGCGCGATCGACTTCCGAATGTATGGGACGATATCAATGCCTGGCAAGATCTAGTCACATGGAGACAGCACATTTTCCAATTGATCAACGCCACTTATCTTAGCCTGCTCCCACCTCAGTCAAACACTGTAGCCAGCAATTCCTATGCCTATCGAGGATACCACGAGACCGCTTGGATTATCAATCGGTTTGCTCATGTTGCACGTAAACATCAAATGCCCGAAGTGTGCATCAACCAGCTTAGCCGTATCTACACGCTGCCGAATATTGAGATCCAGGAAGCTTTCCTTAAGCTACGAGAACAAGCCAAGTGCCATTACCAGAACCACAAGGAGCTCAATAGCGGGCTGGATGTGATCAACAACACTAATTTAAACTACTTTAATGCTCAGCAAAAGGCCGAATTCTATACTCTGAAGGGTATGTTTCTGGCTAAACTCAACCATACTACAGAAGCTAATGAAGCTTTTGGGGTTGCTCTCTATTATGATCTGCGACTTGCCAAGGCCTGGGCTGAATGGGGACAATACAGTGATCAGCGGTTCAAAGCGGATCCTACAGATATGGAACTTGCAAGCAATGCCGTAAGCTGCTACCTCGAGGCGGCTGGCTTGTACAAGAGTCCCAAGTCACGAAAGCTTCTGAGTCGCATCTTGTGGCTTCTTAGTTTGGACAACGAGGAAGGGAGGATTGCTTCTGCCTTTGAAAATTTTAAGGGTGATACTCCCGTGTGGTATTGGATTACCTTCATCCCACAGCTGCTTACTAGTCTATCTCACCGTGAAGCGAGGTTGGCTGCTGCCGTTCTTGGCAGGATTGCGAAATTATACCCACAGTCTCTATTCTTCTTGTTGAGAACGTCTCGAGAGGATTTGAATACTATCCGAAAAACACATGAACAGAAACAAGAGAGGCTTAATCGCGTGAAAGAACAAGCTTCTCCTAACGGCAAAGAGAGTTCGCCAGATATGAAACCTGGAATGTCGGGAACGGATACGGCAACAACTAACGGTACAGAAGGACACCAATCTCCCAGACAGCCTCCTCAGCCTGGTCAACTTGGACAACCTGGACAACAACCCGGACAACTCGGGCAACACGGACAGCCCGGGCAGCCCGCACAGCCTGGACAACATGGGCAACATGGGCAGCTCGGACAGCTTGGACAACCCCGACAGCTCGGACAAGTTGGGCAGCATGGACAGTTTGGACAGCCTGGCGTGCCTAACGCCGTACAACCAAAATCCGATCCAGATAACTCACAAAAGGAGCTTCCGAAGAAATCTTGGGAGTTCGCAGAAGATGTCATGTCTACGCTAAAGACCGCGTTCCCTCTCCTTGCTCTTTCCATGGAGACAATGGTCGACCAAATCCACAAGAATTTCAAATGCCCGCCTGATGAAGACGCGTATAGACTAATTGTTGCGCTGCTTAATGACGGTCTTGCTTACGTAGGCCGGATGCCCGCTTCATATGCCCAAGACTTCAAGCTCCCGCCAGCAACGGAGGGTAACATCACCCGCTTTGCAGAGACCATTCTTCCTGCACATATCCGCAAGTCATTCGAGGCTGATTTCGTTGTCAAGAAGCCCACAATGCACGAGTACATTCATAAACTCCGGCGATGGCGTGATAAATTTGAAGAAAAGCTTGATCGACGGCCGCATACTCAATCCCTGGAAGCGTTCTCACCACATCTTAGCGAATTCAAATATCTCAAATTTGACGAAATCGAAGTTCCAGGACAGTATCTCGAGCACAAAGATAAAAACCAAGACTTTGTCCGTATTGGTCGCTTCCTGCCTAATGTTGAACTCGTGCGTGGGATTGGTGTTTGCCATAGGCGTTTGAAGATGCGAGGCCACGATGGTAGCCTACATTGCTTCGCTGTCCAACATCCTGCTGCCCGCCACTGTCGCCGGGAGGAGCGGATTTTACAACTTTTCCGCATTTTCAATGGAATTCTTTCCAAACGAAAGGAGAGTCGACGACGAAATATTTACTTCCATCTTCCCCTAATGATTCCCCTCGCTCCTCACATTCGTCTTGTCAAGGACGATCCGTCCTATATTTCATTGCAGGGTGTGTATGAAGACCACTGCCGACGTACTGGTATGAGCAAAGATGAGCCCGTGCTGTTTACGATGGAGAAAATGCGCTCTTTAGCGGACATGAAACAAAACGTGAGTAAATTTGGATCAATGTTCTTTGCTCCATTTACTAACGGTGATAAGCAGCGTACCCCTGAACAGTCATTAGTTCTTCGCTCAGAAATCTTTTCAGCTATCCAAGAGAAATGGGTTCCCAATACAATCTTGCTGGACTTTTTCCAGCAAACATATCCAAACTTTGCTGATTTCTGGCTCTTCCGCCGCCAATTCTCTTATCAATACGCTGCTGTGGCTTTCATGACCTATATCATGCACATGACCAACCGGTATCCAAACAAAATCTCCATCTCACGAGCCACAGGAGACATCTGGGGATCTGAATTGATCCCCAACATCCACACTGCAAAGCCCCTCTTCTTCAACCCAGAACATGTACCTTTCCGCCTTACACCAAACATCCAAACATTGATGGGCCCCTTGGCGACCGAGGGCATCTTTGCGTGCGCAGTCATGGCAATCGCCCGCTGCCTAACAGAACCACGACACGAACTAGAACAGCAACTTAGCATATTTGTCCGTGATGAAATGATCTTCTGGTCTGGTGCGCAGCGCGGTTCGACGGTTGAGACCCAGCTGCGAGAAATGGTACAGAGTAATAGTGATTTTATTGTCAATAGGGCTGTTAGTCTTGCGAGTCCGCCAGATGGAAACTTGCCAGCAAACCAATCTGTTATTGATCTTATTTCAAGAGCGGTCAACCCGCAGAACTTGTCGCAAAGCGATGCGTTGTGGATGCCGTATTTGTGATATGGGAAAGGTGTTTGCACTCTGATTTTTATTATTTCCTTTTCTTTTTCTTTCTTTCTTTCTTTCTTTCCCCCCTTCTCATTCTTGTATTAATGGTGTTCCCCCCCCTGTCCGCTGCTTTATTGCGAGGTTGGCAAATTTCCAGTTCGTAATCTTTTGTGCTTTGTATCTCCTCATTTTCTTCGTCTCTTGTTTGTACCCCTTTCTGTTTTAATACCGTGGCTTAATACGGACGACTCTGGAATGAATTGCAGGCTGAATATGGGTAAAATGCAAAAATTCCTTAGCATGGCGTTCTGCGGGTTTGGGGGTTCCATTGTAACGGACTGGCTATGGATGGTTCAATTGTCTTCCTTGCGTCTGGTTATGTCGATCTTATTTTTAATCTTATCTGAATTTCATTTCTTTCTCCTTATTTGCATTATTATCATGTATCATCGTAATCAAGCCTCCTGGGGGATTAAAAACAAAGACTCCATCTATTGTGACAGTAAAATTGAAAAAATGCCCATGGTATTCCGTGTTTTTCCTAAATTCGCCAACCACAGCAAAAACGCCTTGGATATGCTCGGATACGAAAACAAAATAATCGACTCTTAAACCAACGGAGCTTTCTTCTTAATCCCAAGACCCGCATTAAATGGTTTCTTCGGTTTCCGCACCCTCGTAAAGGACGGAAGTGGCGTATCCGGCTTGACGGCAGCTGGGGTGGCCACATCAAATGCACCTCCCTCGTCATCCTCGACCAACCGCTTTACTCTCTCTCCATCATCCGTCATAAATGCCCGTCTTGCTGCCTCTTCGTCCTCCCTCTCCGCCTTAATTCTCTCCTCATCGGCCTCCCTCTGTGCCCTCAAGAGCGCCGCCTCCTCTTTACCCTCCCTCTCCTCTCGTTCAATCCTTGCATTCCTCGTCCTAATCTCATCCAAAGCATCGGCCACCGCCATCTCGCGCTTGGAATCCTGCATTTTCTCTTCCAGCTCCATCATTTTATCCCGTTCCTCTCTCTCCACCTTCTCCCCTTCCTCCCTTTCCAACCTATCCAAGGTCTCATCCACGGTCTCATTCACTTCATCCCCTTTAGCTTCTCTCCAGGGCTCGAAGTTGCGCTTTGCGCCACGCTCGCAGGTATAATCCATGTTTTTGGGGTCTGTTTTGAAGGTAATTTCACTGCTGCAGCGTGTGCAGCGGATGTAGAAGCGGTAGATGGGAATATTAAGGTATTTCTCTTCGGTGGTTTCTTTCCGTGCGTTGAATTTGCGACCTTTGTAGATATATTCACCACAGTTTGTGCACTTGAGACTGAAGGGAGCCATCAGGCGGACTGTCATAAGCCTGGGACCAGCTGCCCGCAAATGTTTGGGCGTCCGGGTTATAAGAGACGGGTCGAAGTCTGGGGGATAGTACTTCGTGAGCACCTTGCGTTCCGACATGGTGGGCTAGAGATTAGGAGAAGATGAATATCTGCAAGGCGACGTTGGGTTTGCGTGTATGAACAGATTATATTGCGATGTCTGAGAATGTTAAAAAATGGCAGAGAGAGAGAGATGTTGAAGCTGAGTAAAGTTACGACGTTGTTGCCACGAAGATATGGTATACTTTCTATGTCACGTGATATTAAACTCTGTTGGTCGAAATGGCAAAAACATATGGGATGATTTCTTTCTATCTCAGCTATCTCCCAACGGCGCTGGATATTAAAATACAAATGCACTGGTGACAATAGCCTTTCATCGTTCCCCGCAGAATTGTATATGCCACCACCTTCAGTTCATCGGCGCCGGCATTTATTCAAATACAGCCCTTACCGTACCAATACCGCCAAGCCATTCACCAGGTGATGTCAACAAACGCACAGACCACATGCCTGTTGCTTCTTCCTCCGTCAAACATCGAACAGCGGTTTTTCTTGCAACAGCTCGAAACATCTTCAGCATCTCTACTTCTGAACTGAAAAGACCCTGCGTAGGAGGGTATTCCCGAGACGTCTATGCGTGTTGCACTACTTCTCCTGGGGGATCGATGCTATCCGAGAGCCCTGTTGTGAGGTGTACCGTGCTAGACAATAATATATGGAGGCCTATCTCCGCAGCTGGCGGCAGGATGCCCTGAACAAAGGCCAGCATGATGCAGCTATCTACATAGGCGATAAGGTGCTCGCCCTTACAAGTGAGGCTGCTGCTATCTAGCTTAATATTTTTCAAGGTTGGATTTTGAACTAGCTAACTGGTTCCTAGATAGCGACAATGACGCTTTTTGGCTAGCGCAGGTGCACTTTTCGCACAACAATTACACTCGAGCACTGGCATTGTTGTCGAAGAAGGATTTGATCACTCGAAGTTCGTCGTGTAGATATTTGGCAGCGCACTGCTATATCAAGCAAAATAAATTCGATCAAGCCCTCGCCATTCTTGGAGATCATAATCCGACGCATCTGATAACCAGCTCCAGCAACACACGGCGGAAACTACAACATCTGAACGGAAACTCAAATGTGACGTTGCGAAATGGGAAAAGTGCTTCTTCTCGGACAGACCGCATTGAAAGGAGCGAAGAAAGGGAACGGGAAGATGCCAAAAATATCAAGTTTGAGGCTGCCATGTGCTATCTGCGAGGTCTATGCTATGCACGACAGAATGCCTTTGATCGAGCAAGAGACTGCTATAAGGATGCCGTACGGATTGATGTGCAGTGCTTTGAGGCGTTTGACCAGGTTATGAAGAACTCCCTGATGTCCCCAGCGGAGGAACTTGAATTTCTGGAATCCCTCGATTTCGATTCAATATCATGTTTTACCGACCCCTCAATATCACAAGAGGCCGCCGAATTTACCAAACTCCTTTATACGACTCGCCTATCGAAATACTCCTCCCCTTCCGCTTTGTCCTACGCCACAGAAACGTTATCAACTCATTACAATCTCGCAGACAACCCCGACCTTCTACTCTCTCGTGCAGAAACACTCTATACACAATGTCGATTCCCCGAGGCACTGGCCCTTACTTCCAGCATCCTCTCTTCCTCAGATGATTCCGTGTCCATGCTCGTCTCTCAAGGAAGCCAAGGTCATAATCTAGGACATTCCCCCGCAGTTTATCCCCTTCATCTCGCTTGTCTTTATGAGACAGGCGCTACCAACGCTCTATTCTTACTTGCGCATACTCTGGCCGATAACGTTCCAGAGGAATCATATACATATCTTGCTATAGGTATATACTACATGTCAGTTTGTAAAATCTCTGAAGCTCGACGCTTTTTTTCGAAGGCTTCCCTCCTAGATCCACATTCAGCTCCAGCATGGATTGGGTTTGCTCACACTTTCGCTGCGGAGGGTGAACATGACCAGGCAATTGCAGCCTACAGCACCGCGGCACGACTATTCCAAGGGAGTCACCTCCCCCAGCTCTTTTTGGGAATGCAGCATCTTGCTCTGAACAACATGTCTCTCGCCCACGAATATTTATCAGCAGCCTATTCCATGTCATCAGGTTCATTATCTAGTACCTTCCTATCTTCTAACGAAACAGGATCTCGAGAACAACCTTCTCCCCCCTCAGGTGGCGATCCGCTTGTACTTAATGAACTGGGTGTAGTGTTGTACCACGAAAACAAGCTTGAGGGAGCTGTTGAACTATTTCGCCAAGCCCTGGCGCTAGCGACGGTACTAAACTGTGATCCGGGAGCATGGCTTGCAACGAGAGCTAATTTAGGTCATGCTCTGCGTCGCTTGGGTCATTTTGAAGAAGCTCTCGCGGAGTTTGATGAATCGCTTCGAATTGGAGCTGGTGGGTCTGCAACCGGTTATTCAGCAGCTATATCAACTGCGGGAGCGGGTGGGTTGGTGTCCGCGGGCTCTACCAGCGTTGGTGGCTATGAGGATAGAGGGCTTACTGGATCTTTACACACGGCCCGTGGGCTGGTATTACTTGAGCTAGGACGTACTATGCAGGCTGTTACTGCATTACATGAGGCGGTTCGTGTCCTAGGCGCTAGTGGCAGTGATGCTGCAGCTGGTGCTGGCGTGGCGGGAACGTTACTTTCCAGAGGCCTCGAGATATGGGAAATCGAGCAGGAACAGCAGGATTACGCATCTCCACCTACAGCCCGACAAACCGCAACCGGCAGCGGCAGGGAGAGGGGCATATCCAGCAAAGGAAAGGAGAAAACCAGGGACAAAACAGTCACTCGAACTAAATCGCGTGGCTTAGGGAGGCATGTTGTTGCCTCTGAAGAAGAATGGACGAATGAAATCGTCAATCCCGAGCCCGGGATAGCTTCCCGCAGCGGTATTGTCGAAGACCATAGCCAGAGGGTCGAGATGGAATTGGATGACGAAGCGGAGGATTTGCTGAACCCGGCTCTGAACCGTGCCAGATCTAGGCATGCTGGTAGGGGGAGGGAGCGCGAGGTTACAGGGGCGCAGCATGGTAGGAATATTTCCCATGCCGCAGATGATGATGATGATGATGATGCTACTGCTGCTGAGCCATCTAGAACGCGGTCAACAAGATTTGCCGCGAGGCGGCGGAGTCCCGCTCGCCACGGGCCTGGTGGGTGGTAATTGATGGCCAACGTTCAGCGAAAGTAATTTCCTTTTGCCAGTTTTGGTCTGGGGCTGTGGGATGATGGGAGTGATGATGATGATTGACAGCTGATACCCATTGTGAGCTTCTTATATATGTATAAAGTAGGAAGATACAAAGCATTATTTGCCTGTGCCTGCCTCTCCAACTTTTAAATCACTTGGGTTTAACTAGCCTTGCAGGTGTTGTATTCTGATCTCTCACTCTGCCTGTATTTAAAGTATTTTGATTCGATTGATCTGTTCTGAGGTTTGTATGTGTGACAGTAAATTGATTCTGAAAGATTAGCTAAAAGAATTACAAAAAAAGTGAATAAAGTAAATGCAATCATATAAAGCGAAATAAGCTGCTAAAGGGACTCTGATATCTCTAGACCTTAAAAATCCCTGCATTCATGAAAACAAATTGTCAGAATCCATTCCCTTAACTGGTAAGCAAACTTCCACTGTCACGTGTTCGCCGCGATAAGTGGAAGAAGTCATACTTTCAGAAAACTCATCAACTCAACGCCGTTCAAACAGTTTGAAGATACGCATCTGGCAACAGAGCCTTCGTCACTGTCCTACCGACGTTTCTTTTCTCTTTCTCTCATCCCCCCCCCCCCCCCCCTCTCTCTCAAATTATCTCTGAACTGGTGTTAGGAAAACATTCAACGGCCCTTTCGTGTAAAACATGAACACTTTCTGCTGCCGGATCCAGTCCGCGCTCTCTGGGGCGAGCTTCATGTCAAAGTTATAGATTATAAGCGCGAGAATGACGCGCATTTCAGCATATGCTAGGCTGCAAGGGCAAGGGCCATCGATGAAAGGAAAATATAACTGATTAGCCAGAGTGAATTTGAACCGAAACCTAATGTTGAGGAGCGGGAGGTCTTAAGAAGGGAATGTGGAGAGTTTTATGTGACCCTGGTGGCTTTATATACTTACCTTCTGCCAATGCAACTTCGCGGACCCACATTGAAGGGTTGGAACATGTCGCGCTTGTCGTTTGCGAACTTAGGATCACCCAGGAACCGTTCCGGATGATATGCAAAGGGGTCTGTGAAGTGTCTTTCGTCATGGTATGCTGACCAATGGTGGATTGCAACCACTGTCTGTGGATTTGTACACTTTGTCAGTCTGCGCATATTAAAGAAACAGGAAAATATTTGGAATTCCCCTTTGCAAATAGTTGTGGGAGGGAGCCCCTGACATCTTCAGGGACGAATTGTCCAATTATGCTGCAGCCACCTTTGTTGACAACACGAGGTAACCCAATGGCCACGGGCGGATACACCCGCAGTGCCTCGTCAAGGCAAGCAAGCATATATGACAGCCTATTAACGGAATTAATGGTAATTTCAGATTCATTCTTAAAATTTGAGCGGACTTCCGCTGTTAGCTTCTCGAGGGTGTTGGGATTGGTTAGCAACAGAAAGGTTACTCCGGACAAGAGTGTTGCGGTTGTTTCGGAACCACCGATAAGGAGAAGCCTGCAGTTGATCGCAATCCCATCGACGCCCATATTCTAATGAGAGGGAACACAGATTAGCATGGAGCAAGGATGTTTCCAAGGTTTGTTGTATAAAGAGGATTGAGCCTTAGGAGTTAGAGTAAAGTACTCGCGAGGATGGGTGAGAGAAAGCTGCATTCAATTTCTCGTATGCAGAACTTACCATTTCATCTTTCTTTTTTAGTAGGCCCTGTATTAGGTCGGGGCGATCGTTGCCAACTGCCATTCGCCTTGCAAGTTTCTCCTTTGCAATCTTCAACTGGACCTCCATTCCCGACTTGGGAATCTTTCTCACGAGAGCTCTCAGAAGCGGTGGTAAATAGCCAGCGCTTTGTAGGAACGTCCCAACACGCCCCGACGTGAGCATAAGTTTAACAAAAGGGTGCAAATAGGCGTTTTCGATGCATCCAAAGGATTCACCATAGGTTAGATCCCCGATGATATCGAAGGTCACGCAGTTATACCACTCCATGAGATCTAGAGACTTGGTTCCACCCCCTCCCAGCTCACGCAACTTCACTATGAAAGAGTCAAGATATTGACGAATAAGAGCTTCCTGTTGCCTCATTGATTTCTCAGAGAAGCCAGGGGAAAGCGCACGGCGTAAAAGCGCATGCTTCTCGCGATCTGCGCTGATGATGCTGACTGGATCCTTTCGATTCCCCAATGGACGATAGAATGTCAAGTACTTTGGCAGTTCTTCTTCCTTCCGCAGGTGAGCGCCCATAATATCCTTCCAGGCGCCCGGATGGGAAAAAGCCAGTTCATTCGGCGCAATTCGCACCACGTCGCCGTATTTCTTGTGCATATTTAGGAGGTCAAATTGCAGAGTCCCAGAGGACAATTTGAACAAATATGGAATCCGGCTCATCGCATGGCTAAGCGGACCTGGAAATGAGCGGAGGGGGTGAAAGAAGACATTGTAAATAAACTTCCAGCTCAAGCAGAGGATCACCTTGAAAGGTTGTGAGCGGAGACTTTACATTAGATAGATGTGAGCGGTTTCAACTTACGAAGACAACACTGGATACCGCAAAGCTCGGCAGACTGTCCGTGAAAGTATGGATCGTTGATGCCACTGACATGATTGATACTATTGTTTACCAGTGGACGGGGAAGGGGTTTAATGAATAATAAAAATAACAACCTGAGAACGGCTGGAGAAAAAGGATGTTTTATGGTTGGGGCGTAAGCCGTCGCCCCGGTCACACGTGATCGCACATAGCCTCTTTTTCAATAATCGACGATTAACCTCTCTTACAAGGTTATGCCCGGTACGGACATATTTTAAAGAAATGTCGCGGATTTCTAAATGAATGCTGCGTTAAATGACTCCCAAGGGGAACTGTTTTGAATACCTTAGTCTTGCAACCAACGAGTGGGCGAGTTAGTTACGCTCCAACCCCACATTCTGAACGAAATTAATCGCCGAGATCATTCTCAAAGACCTCAAGGATTTCTACGGTTGAGAAAGATGACAAGAAGCCATTCAGATTCAGAAGGAAAGGAGTCTTCTCAGTAATGTAATATGACAGAGAAAGGCAATGCAATGAAGGGTTCAACCAGCGTCCAAAGAGCAAAAATCTCAAATGCAAGTTCTTGGAACCAGATAAAATTCTCTGGTTTTACATCTAGTCAGTTCCCACAATGATTAGTTAAACCTAATTCCCGCCATGAATTCAAAAAATCGTTAAACCTCATTCAACTCAACCCGCAATTATACCATCAATTTGCAATAAAGAGGCATGAATTGAACTCCTGATTTTGATTCTTAAAAGCAAAAATAATATTCTCAGTTCATGAAGCCATATACTTGTTTGAAGTGTAACACTTTACGCTTATTGACTTATTGACTGCGCTTTGAGAGTAAATTTATGCATAAATTCATGTAAATTAACTCTGAAGAGAATAAAATTGTTTAATAAATTTTTTTTTTAAAACAAAAAACTAGTTAAATAAGAACTATTTCTTTAATTAGTAGCTATTTATCAAAAATATAATTTATATATATAGTTATTATTTATTTAAAGACTTTAGTTAATATTTAACCTTTAAGAAGTTAGTTTTTATATTAATAAAAATTTTATTTTGAAGTTAATTGATTATTTTAATTATGATTAAATTAATATGAAAATTTTAAATTATTTTAAAATCTTCAGAAAATAATAACTCATATGAATAAGAATATTTATATAATTATACTTTAAATTGATCTATTTATATCTTTATAGATGAAAATTATAAATAAAAAATTCTTTCTTTAAGATTGAGTTTTCAGTTTTTTAATAATATAATAACTATAATGTAATTAATTATCTACTGAGATAAATCATCTACTGAGATAGATCTTCACTACGTAATGTGTTTAACTACTGAATTGATCAAATGTCAAAATGTCAGCAATCAAAGATGATAATTCTTTATACAAGAAAGAAAGACTTACTCTAGCTATTAAAGCAGTTAAAAAAATCAAATTTCTAGTTCTAAAGCTACTGTCAGATTATATATCATCTTTCATTTCACTCTTTACCATTAACTTTACAAACATTTAATATGAGAGAACTCTCAGTTAAGAAATTGAAAACTAATCTTTATAATAAAATTATTTTTTATTCAGTGAATAATTTTCATGAATGAATATGATTAGTTTCTCTGAATGAGTATTATATGAGAAACAGTCAATCTTCTTCTTGTCAATTGAGACAACTCTTTCAATTCAAAAACTGTTGATGAAAGCTGAATTAAATAATTCATTAATCATCATTCTGAGTTAAAAATCTGATTCTTCTGATTATATAATCATTAACAAGCTCTATGTGAAGATTTTAAGATTATTCAAGAATAATTCAAGCTTGTACTGAATACTATTCAGAAATATGATATTGTACAGAAGAATATATACAACTTTGATAAGATTGAATTTCAGATGAGAATTATTGAAATAGTTAAAATGATCACTGAGTCAGAGAAGACTCTCTATTTGAAGTTTATATAATCTAGAAATACAGAATGAGTCATTATTATTGAGAAAGTTAATTTAATAGACTGATCATTATCTTCAATAATCATTCTCAAGAAGTTACATCAGACTTCTTGATTTGAGAATGGATTATCATACAACTGAAGAATTGATATCAGTGAAAATAAATAAATAATTGATAAGCTGAGATTGATCTGATTTAAAGAGATGTTCAATAAACATACTCAAGCTCATATGATCAGTCAATATCAACTTTTGATTCTTAATAGATATAACAGTCATAATAATTCTGAGTTTAATCAGTTTTGCACTTAAAACTTGATTATTTCTCTTTATATATCAGCTTATTTCTCTTATTTCTTACAGTCTTTAGATGTTGTTTATTTTTTTTCATTAAAGCAAGCATATAGAAAAGAGATTGAGAAGAGAATAAGATTTAACATCAATTATATTGATAAGAATGAGTTTTTAACTATCTATTCTTTAGTTCACACAGCAGCTCTAAGTGAAAAGAATATTCAAAGTGGAATTAAAGCTATAGAACTAGCTTTATATAATTTAAAGTAAGTTCTTTCTCAGCTCAATATTCAGATACATACATCAACTCTTTTAGAGATCTCACATATCTCTCAGACCTCTTGGACCACTGCCACATCTTATAATATATGACAACTGAAGCTTCAGAGTTAGAAGATTAAGAAATATCTCAAGCACTGTACACAGAGTCTACTCAGTTCAATCAATCAAGCTTTGAAACAGCTAGTCAAGAAATGTCAGATGACTATGTATATTGCTGTTATTTTGACAAGAGAAAACAAAGAGCTGAAGACTGTAAATGCAAAGTAAAAGAGAAAGTGAGAAAGATGTCATATATATATAAGCTAGAGAGAGAGTTTGACTGTTCAAGAAGAGGTGAATTGTGTACAAAGAGACATTGCAAAGGAAAGAGAGATAATAGAGCAGTCTGATAAGTAATCACAAAAGTGAGCAGCACCACAGTGCAGTGGATGTGGTGTTATAGAACATACTATTTGTACATGCTCCCAGTGTACAAGGAGTAATTTATAATGTAATTAGCTGGTTTTACTATCTAGTTGTGGTGATATTCAATTAGAAAGATATTGGATGGTGGAGACCTGTCTCAGTAGATGATCTGTCTCACTAGGTGATTGATTATGTTAAGTATATCATTTAACAATGAAGTGTAGGACCCACCGTGAACTATATTATAGCAATTACATGCTTAGGTAGTTCTAATGCTGTTAAACAAAACATTTTATCTTCTATTGCGAGTCTTTGTTTCACAGTTGAAAATCTATAGATGTGAGTAACCAATTACTGTTATTAAAGAGAGTTTGTATCTAATTGAATATTGATAATTTCTCTGACTCTGTATGTCTTAACTGAAGGCTAATGATAGCAAGAACAATGCCCTTTTTAAAACATATCTGACAATCATCCGGATGCTTCACTTCATGTTGTGCTAGTCTATTCACTTCTCAAACCCCATCTTCACTTCTCAAAGCTCATTCCCAGACCTTAAATACATTTTCCTCCATCAACAATCATATCCGTCCCGTTGATAAATGCCGCCTCATCACTGCCCAAATACAAGCACATATTCGCAACGTCATCGGGCTCCGTCAGTCGACCCAGAGGGACGTTCGAAATAAACTTGGACCGGTTCTCAGGAGTATTCGGCACACCAACAAACATCTCAAACAGGCCCGTGCCACACAGCAAGGGGCAGACGTTGTTAATTCGGATTTGATTCGGGCCATATTCAGCAGCAAGGCCCTTCGTTACCTGTAGGTTTTGGGGAGGGTTAGTTTGTGATTGTTTTTCTTCTTCTGCTCCATTCTTTTAATATATTTTTATTTTATTTCATCTTGTTTTACTTTACTTCAGGAGCATAGAGGAAAACTCTGACATTCGAAACAGCACCCTTGGAGGCATTGTACCATACAAGGCCCGGTCTGGGTCGGGAGGCCCCGGTGGAGGAGATATTGATTATCGAGCCACCTTTGCCTTGTTCGATGAGTTTAGGGATGAAGCTTTTCGAGGCGTGGAAGATGCTCTTGACGTTAACGTCGAAGACACGCTGGAATTCGTCTAATGTCACTTCCGTTGAAGGCTACAGATAGAGGGGGAAGTTTTTGGTGTGTTAGCTTACTTTTCAAGGTTGGTTCAGCTGGCTGCAGGTTCATGGATGCAGCCTACGGAGGAGGTGCAGGGTAGAGGGTAAGTGGTGTAGGGAGGAAATATGTGAATGGTCACTCATTTCCCCCTAACCCACCCCCCCCTCCTCTTGTCAGCATGCCGTCTGCATGCATAAGGTAGAAAAAAGCAATGAGGTTGGGCTTTTTTTATCCACCGTCTTTAGACAGAAGGACGAGAGGATTCTGGGTCAGATATGTTTGAGAAACCGACCTTATTCCTATATGTGGTGCCCGCATTATTCACCAAGATGTTTACTTCGCCAAACTTGCTCGCTGCTAACTCAACCACAACAGTCCAGTCTTCCTCCTTGGTCACATCCATCTTCGTAAACACGATGCTCTCTGGATTTTCAGAGGCTACTTTCTCACCACCGGCAACATTGATATCACCAATAATCACCTTGGCCCCCTCCTGTGCATAGCGTTTTGCGATTGCAGCACCGAATCCAGAGCCACCACCTGTGATTTTTATCGAAGACATTAGCTATATAATTCCAATATATATGGATATGAAATAAAAATAAAAATGAAAATGAAAATGAAAACGAAAACGGTAATGAAAATGAAAACGGTAGAATGGTACCACTAGCATAGCATACATACCAGTGACGATGGCAACCTTTCCTGTTAGACGGCCAGACATGTTGCTGCCAGGAGCTGATTTGAACGTATACAGAACGAGTTGAGAAGGGAGAATCAGACGGCTCAATCAGATCTCCGTTCGAGAAGTTCTAGAAGACGCCCAGGGTCAGATATTCTCATGCTCTCTCTCGCTTCTTCTTTTAAATTGCCCTAGCCGGGACGGGCGTTCTTTTCCACGTGTAGTTACCTACGGGAACGTGCGGCCTAAAAGGAACAATGAATGCAGTGACCAGACCAGCACTGAATAATCTATGCACCAAGGCTAGATCACTGCCACGCGGGGATGTTCGATGTTAATGTAGACAAAACGACAGGAGCACATACGTACGACTGTGTTGCAATAGTTTTCAATAATGGAGCTGCTGTGGATGTTTCAGTTCCAAAAGCAGAGAAAGGGTAGTTAGTCGGCTGTCTACAAGGCTAAGGCTGTGAGAGTAGTTATGTATGGCTGAGTGTTCCTTGATAAATTCAGAACAATAAAATTAGGAAAAGAAATAAGGGGCAAGAGAACGCGCAGTCGGGTGCTGGGCATTTCTTATCATTCTTCTGCTTTTTCTTAATAATTAATGAGAGAGTGTGATGAAAACTTTGCGGGGAAGCAGTTGAAAAAGCCTGGGGTCTCCACAAAAGACCTGCAAATGGGCATAGCATAACTAGTTACACAAAAACACCCATAATGCCCACCAAACCGAGTTGTGCAATGGTAAACAAGGCCAAGTCAAAATAAATATAACGCGGGTGCCTGGGCGGAATTGGCTCCCGACATCGGGGTCCCTCTGCCGTTGAAGGCCCGGCAAAGAACAGGTTCAGGTTCAAGGTTCGGCTTCGGCTTCTCGGCAACCCTTCTTCTCGGGGGCACAATTTCAATGCGATTCCGGCAAGGTTGGCGATTGGCCGGACGGACAAACAACCCTTGGGCTTACTTTACTCGTATCTTCTTTTCCCCTTGACTAACTAGGCAGGATTCCGGAGGCCTTTTGTGCCTGCGTAGAATGGCCTAGGCGTATCTTGCAGAGATTTCACGAATACATCTAAAATGCGTGATAGATGAGAACCATTGCGAGATACAATAGGGTGTTGAAGCTGCTACACTGCTGCTACAGTAGGATATATCGGTTGAAGGTTCGTGATGCAGATATTTGACACTATGTCGTTCTCCCCCTGTCCGCCCATCCATGGATAATGGATCATGATCTGAGAGGAGGATCCCATTATCTGATACCATGCGACACGCAGTGGGGCATTGCTTTCAAAACAACTGATCTCCCGTTCAACAGCTTCTCTTCGCTGTATATATCATCTATCTCCTTCAGATAAAAAGCGCCCGCTCCTTGATTTTGGGAATCTTGATGGGTGATTGGATTATGCAGTGCTTCCTCACCGACGCATCGTTACAAACGGCGATCCTGAGTCGACTGCGGGACACACAAAGCGCATGATGATGTCTCCTGTTTCCTGTTGCCTCGTCTGGATAAAGAATGCATGTTGCACATCCCATATTGAGCATCGGATGAGCTATCTTCGAACTAATTAGTTGACTGCAAGCAGAGTATAAAATGGAGGGGGGGTGGCAGAAGGAGACTTTACCTACCCTTGGTGGTTTTGTTCCTGGACTTTCGAAATCCAAACCATGACTCTCATCGTCCGTCCATTTTGTTCAGTTCCATCATATATCTTCAGAGTGTTGCCATTGCCACAGAACTACACACAGGGAATCATAGACCTGTTCCGGGGGGCCGTTACGCAGTGGGGGGGTTTTTGTGGTAGCAGAGGAGGGAAAGGGTTGAACATCCCCGGATATGGGATTGACAGACAGATCATTTAAAGGAAATACATCAGGGGACTTTCGCTCAGTTCATCTGCTACTGAGCTTATTGAGCGGTCAACACTGCGGCTGCGAGTCACTGATGATATTTCCCTAACAAAGAAGGTAGGTTTTATGATCCAAACTATCATATATAAATGCTCTCAGAGACTTAATTTATATACTAATAGAAAATGTCAGTGGTCATGAGAGGGAGAGGTCTGTATATGGTCATAGACGCCCTTCATAGCTTGCTAGATAGGGGCGTCTCAAGCAGAATGATCAGATCGCTGACCTTTCCCAGCCAGGTGATGGTCAGAGAGACAGCGGGCTCCAATAACATGGATTTGGACCGAGCTCGATACCAAGCAGAAGAATCGTTCCGCCACATCAAGCCACAAGAAAATGCGGGAGGTTGCGTTCATAGGTTTGTGACTCCTTGGTGACTTTCCCAGCTGCCAGCCACCAAAGAGCCACATTACGAGAAGCTAAATTTTAGGCTGGGACCACTATTTCGTACTAATCTCTTCTTCATAGCTAAGCTAAAATTCAAGGAGATGCCTCCCAACTTCCCCACCAACCCAGGGGCACTCTGGGCGTTGTCTCCACACTATCCCCAGTTGGATTTAGGAATCTTTAGTGCAAGTCAACACCGTTGATTTGGTCAAGGGCAGAAGATTTGATGATGATATATATCCCCTTTCTGACATAAGTCCGCCCTTCTCAACGTTCTCCACGTTGTCTAGGTTGCATTACTAACCCCCGTCCACTCTCCCAGCCCAAGTCAGACAAACTCTCCACGTCTTAGTATGGGGGACTCAGACCCAAAAATGAGATATCATAGGCATTCCCTCTGAACATCGTCGTTTAAGGTTCGAGATATCAGGACAACAACTGATAGAATAGGAGTCCAAGAGCGCTGAATTGCACGCTACTGACCCAGAGCTGTGGACGTGCGCAACGAGACGGCTCCAACAAGCCAATCGTTCTAGTGGTCAAGGCGATCTGACCGAACTCGTGGTCGCGGCTTGACGACTATCAGCGACTTGCCCACTGCCAGAAATATTTCTCACCTTCCAATCCCTGAGCATATTCATCCTGAAGTCTCTGAAAGGGGAAGCCTGCCGGCAGCAAATCCCACCAAATTTTACTTTTCGTGGAAACATTTGGGATTGAATCTGACATTTTTATTTATTTATTTATTTATTTTTAACACAGGCTGGCTTCTATTATCACGGCCATTCCATCTGAGTTTCTTCCCCCTTCAGCGTCTTAAATATTGCCTTCTGCCATGGTCTGGTTTCCTTGATGAGAGAACGGATTCTCTAGTCGGGGCGAACAAAGTATGCCCCGGATACTGTCTCGTGAGGCCTCCACACCATGGCAGTTAGCTCGAAGGGAAAGATCTCAGGGGACATGGGGATGTCTAAAAGAAACCTGGTGGCAAGTAATACAAAGTGACCCCGAATTTTGTTATTATATCAATTGCTAAACTTCCCTTTCTGTTTCTAGCTCGCGGAATGGTCCTTCTTTGCGGTATGTTCGGTGCTCATGATACTGCGTCTGGGACTTCGATTGCGTTTTTATCGTCGACTATTCTGGGAAGACACGTTCGCAGCCTTTGGTTACTTATTTCTCTTTGCCATGGATGTCGTTGCCATGTACTGCGTACACCATATAGAAGTATATGAGAATCTTGCTATTGAAACACCTAGATGGAATCATCACTTTAACGCAATGTTGAAACTATCATTCACGGTCGATGTGCTCTATAATTTCGTCATCTACTCGATCAAGGCCAGCTTTCTGTCCTTCATGTGGAGAATATTTCATAGTATTCCCGGCTTTCGAAAACCTTGGTGGATTATTACGATTTCTACCGTTATATTGGGCTTGGGTAGTCTATTACTGGAACCTGTGACTTGTGTGAAGTTCTATCTAGGTTAGAGATTTCATAAAATCTTTTGACACATCCACGTCGTGAAACTCTAGCTGCTAACAAGAAAAATAGGACCCTGCGCAGAGAAAGATGACATACGCCGCAATAATATCACTTTGAAAACCGGAGCGGCACTTGATATCTTGACTGATTTTATGAGTATGCTCCTAACTTTCTGTGTCTAATCGATCATTGACGGCCCTGATCATTACTCGGTCTGAATACTTTATTTGAAAATATGCTAATTCCTCGTCAACACTACAGTTATGGCTCTTCCAATCGCATTCATTGCAAATTCAAAACTACCCTGGAATCAGAAACTAGGCATCATATGCCTGTTCTCGTTGGGTTTTGTCATCGTTGCAACCTCCCTCGTCAGAATTATATCCCTTAACTTCCCCGGCATGCATCCACCTGTTAGCTGGAAGCTGTTTTGGGCCATGATAGAGAGCAGTATAGCGGTTATCACGTCCTGTTTCGCTTCATGCAGATCTCTCTATACTTTGCTCAAACGATCCGACAACTCTAGATCTGGGTTATCCGTTTCAAGTAGGAGAATATGGCCCTCACGCAGACGCGCACACCCAAGTCCCCATCCGTTCGACATTTCTATGTCAGTTTTTCAATCTCGGAGCTCACCCAGTAAGGTGGCCACGGAAAACGGCGAGGTTCAACCTGGACCATGGGCCGACGGCGAATCAGCGGTAAAAATTCTTTCGCAATCCGAGTCCGAAACACCGGACGATAGACCAACTACCTAGAAAAAAGAACGGGCTGAGGGAGGATATAGTGTCCATGAAAACGAAGAGATGGAGATGACGTTTAACACAATGCTATATTAATTATAGTCAATTGAAAGAAGTTGCACCCCATAATTGACACCTGTTATATCTATCTTTTAGGGTGTGGCCCCGCAATCTCTGAGTAATTCGTGCGAATCACGAAGCGCGCCGCTCTCTCTCTCTCTCTCTCTCCGAGCTAACTGATGATCCTGGAGAATATCAAGTTGGCCTGCGCACCCCATCTCGAGCAAGTAATTTATACGAGGCCATTGCGGCAGCTCGGAAACAGAGATTGACGGGGTCTTGCTGTGCTGGCTAAGGAAATTGGCAACGGTAATCGTGCGGGTTTGAGTCCGGCATATCGAAGCTGCTTCTACAGCCCGGTGCGCTCAGTGTACGCTGACGGCCAATACATTCAATCCTCGAATTCGGCCCATGAAAAGGCTGTTCCAACTCTGATGAATTTCTTTACTTTGTGAGGCGATGCGAAGCAATACTATTCTGGTGGCTAAACTTTATAAATGTACATGGCGTTATTCCGTCTCTCTGTTGCATGGTAGCCGTCCCACCCACAAGCTATATAATAATAATGATAGTCATCATCATCATGGCTGATGAAAGAGGTATTGAAACTACACAATGGGAGGTTTTGACGGGATCAATTGTCCCAAAAGGAACCAATGCCTCAAAGCACTATGTGAGAAGTAATTGTATTCTTGGATCTCTTGAGTTTCCAGGCAGGGTTTGAGAGTCAAAGGAACTTTCTTGAGAAATGTCTGCATTGTCTTACAAACTCAAAAAAGCCGGCTATTCGGTGGTCTTCATATTTGGTTTGAGGCTGCTGAAGTTTTCAAGAGGGAGACGGGGTATCAAATAACGGTCTGGAATCCTGGTTTGCAATTTGCAAAGCCCAGTGTCAGCATGCCCGCTCGTTCAGCTTCCCATCTCACGCCAAAGCATGCAGTGCAGAGTTTGCGGTGCGTGCGGTGCGCGCTTGCTGGAAGTCCAGGTACCGCAGAGAATTCTCAAAAAGGACACCCAATCATAGCTGATACGCAAGAATCCAATTAACCAATGAATTCAAGCGCAGTAGCTATGGAGAGCGCACATGCAAATTTCACATTTCTTGACGGTGAATATGTCCACATCTTGCGATGCTCGTCAAGGTAGATTCCCTTGTTTGGTGTCGAAGTATTTCCAATGGAAAAGTAGAGTTTCGCTGGGAGACATGGGAACTGGGCACATAGCATTGAGTCGCGTCCCATAAAAAGATCCCTACACGCCAGAGGGTGCATATGCCGAGTGCTGTGGCAATCCGAAGTTAACTAGTTATGACGTGGAGTAGATCCCCATGGATGGGACTGGAGTTCAGCATAACCTAACTGCAGCCAAAACCCCAACCAACGCCATGATGCCACTAATAGTTATCCAATAGAAAATTATTCAGCACTGCAGGCGGTCCGCAAGTCCCTGACTGGTGTCCGGCAAGTGGCGTGGAATTGTCAGAGGGGGCCCTCTCGGGGCGATCTGGCAGTGCTATTATGATGTTAACTTTTCTTCAGATGAGAAGCGCGGACTTTGTTCGAAAAAGCTTGTTTCCCACACCCCCTAATGAAGGGCCCGTTTTCCTATTCAAATGCGATCTCTCTCGCATATTTGCAAGATAATGCGAGGACGACGACGAACCTCGGACGTTTCGTCTCTCTTCGTCTCTCTACGTATCTGTTCCCAGCTCCTGTGATGAGAAAGCGTGCGTACGGAAAAATTCTATCATTTAGCAAATGATACTTTTTTTAATGTCTCTTAAAAGCTTGCTTCTTTACATTTTGACTGTCAGTTGGGTGTCTGCTCATTCACCAAGACGTAGAACTTGTTGGTGGCGCAAACGAAGTTGAGCAGAACTATGAAATATGCCAATGTCAATCAAATACGGGTTATCACTGCATTTACCATGTGGCATCTTACTGTGCGGAATTTCTCAGTATGAGCAAGCATTTCCTACTAGGGTAAGAAAAAAATTTTTTTTTTTTTTTTTTAAAATTCACTTTCACCGCAAAATGGGTCATTTGAATCCACTGGACTGGATTCAGTCAGGTTAGCAGAGGATTTGATCCTATGTAGGAAAAATCCAATCGTAGATCTAACATAGAGAAATCAAGCCAATTAATTTAAAGTTGATGGAAAGATAAATTTTTATTTGATTATACAAAAGAGAAATGAAAAAATGTATGGGAAAAATGCTTGTTAATTTCACAAAGCTAAGTGGAATATACAGAAAATAATCCCCCTCCCCCATCGTGGTATTCTTCCACTTGTTAAACACCATACTACCAAACCACGGAACTCCCTCTCATGCTCTTCCCATAACATGAAAAATAAGACAAAATAAAGATACCGAGATCCTTTACAATATAGTCCAATATTCTGATGCATACCACTCATCGACTCAAACCTCACCCACCCGCCCACCCATCCGTCCCTCACTAAATCCCACACCTCTTTTCTTTCAAGTGCTGTATCTACTGCTAATGACGATGGCCATGCGCATGGCGTCTCGCTCTCCTCAGAACCTTGCCTCCAGCAGGTGGCGTAGCTCCAGCGGGGACATCAATGGTAGTAGTGACCTTTTCTTCCACGATGACGACTTCATAAACAACATTGCCTTCGGTGTATGTTCTGGTGGAAATGGGAACGGTATCGCCATCGCCGGCATTCTCGGAGGGGGCGAAGAACTGCGCGGGAGCAGGGGCACGAGTGGTGGTGGTGGTGGTCGGAGCTGGTGGAGGTGGTTTGTGGCCTGGAAGAAGAGGATACTACGGGGAAGGGTGAAAGGGTAGTAGGAGCATTTTTGACGGGGATATTGACGTTGACCTTGGGAACATCGGCAGCTATAATGTCGATCTTGGGCGTGACTACCTTCGCATATTCGGGACCGCGTAAAATCTCAACCGCGCCGGGAAGGCCATTCTTGGAGAACTTGCAGCCTTCAGTAGCGATGGGGGAGGGCGTTTTGAACTTGCACTTGTTTTGCTCAGCCTCGGATTGCAGGTTGAAGATGCCGCAGTCCTCGACACGACCGGAGGAGTTTTTGCATGACTTCACGGCATCGTCGAGGACGCCAGGTTCCCAAGCTTCGATGAAGTCGGCATGGTAGCCACATCCGTTCGGGTCGCCGTTGGAGAGCACAAACTCACCCTCGATGCCCTTGTATTTAGCAGTATGCCAGATGGTTTCGTATAGGAGAGAAACAAGGCGTGTTTTGAAGCCCTCGGGGCAGACACCATCCTCAACAAGATTGGGATACGCCATGTGTGATTTGTGATCGTCAGTGTCAAGGTCCTTGCCGTTCCAGCAGGACGGGAAGAAAATCTCCATGCGAATGCCGTTAGGACAGTTTTCATCAATGAATTTCTTGGATGGCATGGTGTGGCGGTAGAGAGTTGGTTCGGGAGTGCCCGCATAGTTAAGACAGTTGAAACCTACAGCCTTTTGGGACAGGGCGAATTGTGTGGACTCGTACTTTGACCAAGAGGACTTCGGAGGGTCGGGGACTGGCCAAGTGAAGTTGCGCAGGTAGGGATCTCCAGCAAGGATGCGGAAGCCCTTGGGGAATGCCTTGACACCCTCTCCGCGTGGCAGATAGTAGCTGTAGGATGCATATATTAGGATCTAGATAGGGAAACTCCTGATCTGCCCATATTTTGGAAGAGAAACTACTTACACAAGCATACCACCGACTTGCTCCACTAATTCAGTTTCTCCATTGGGATACTTGAAGTAGGTTCCTGGGGTCCAATAGATGGATTTATCCTGCTTTATCGCGCAAGATGTGCAGTGGGAATTCAAGAGATCGTCAGTGGTGACGGTCATACCAAAGTCTATCAGGAAGTTAATATATAGATGCCAAACAAAATAGGTGATTAGACCTGTGAATACATACTGCTAGCACCGTGGACAACATGGGCGTGAGGTGCGATTTGGCCAGGATTGACGAGAGGATCGAGACGAGCAACACCCAAACGCCCCTGGCAAGGCAGACGCCAGAATGCCAAAGCCGGGGAGATGGCAGCCACCAGAGCCGCGGTGTAGATGATGCTCAGATGCATGTTTAGTATATAGGAGGGCTATAACTATATCCGAGTTCCAGACTCCGAATGTAGATGTTTGATCTGATAAATCCGAGTGTATACAATAAAAGAGAGGATGAATGCTTGTAAACCTGCAATTTCAAACCCCATAAGAATAAAAGCACTGAGTGACAGATAGAGCAGAAAAGAAGTGAGTTTCTGTTGTGTGTGTTGGTGGGTAGACTGTTCGGAGGAGTTACTGGTGGCGTAGAGTCACTCACTGCAAGGTTTAATCAATATCAGCGCCAGACACAGCAGTGAATCAACACTGGCGGTGACAAAACAGAAGCACCCAAACAGTGATTCTACGACAAGAATGGAGCCTTTTACACTGTTTATACACTTCTTCTCAACGGGCTTGAAGAATAACGATATCCGTCCCTCTCGCGTCTCTTGCGCGTAGGATTCCTTGGGGGAGATGTTGGATGGTTGGGATCCGGCGAGAGGAATTGAAAAATCGACTGCGAAAACGAGTGACAACTATAGAAAGGGAGGACTTGTGAAGCGGTAGTGCACAAAGGCAAAGGAATGAATAGCTTCAGAAAAAACAGAACAGGAGAATGATGTCTTCCTTCTCGAGGAAGAGATACGATACGGTCTCCGAGTAAACGGGTGTGGTGAGGAGTGAGAAGGAGGAGAAATTCTCAACCAAGAAACAAGAAAAAGAAGCCGTAAAACAAGAGGCAGAGAGGAGAGACAATCAAACGGTCATCATTTGCCCCTTCAGACAGGAGAATGAGTTTGGACAAAGGAGGTTGGATAACGCTAACTGGCTGAGCGCGGGTAACTTAGTTAGCCATCTTCCAGTGCACTTATATTAGTGAATAGGACCAGGAGAGAAGTGGTGCAGAGGGCCCCGTATGGTGCACCCGCGGGCATGCCACACGGCAACCAAGCACCTAGACACTCAGCAAGCACTCGATCAATATCAAGACCGTGGCGGGCGGGGGCACAGACTGTCGCTGTCAGCAGAACAGGATGATGAAACACCAGTGACATCCTGGGCAAATTTCTCAAGCGGGCCTCTGTCTTTATTTGTTCCTCAGACTTTTTGTGGGTTGGTTCCCGTCCCCTCCCTCAACCTACGCAGTATACACACTCTTCCTGTTGTTGTCAGTCATAAACTGCACTCTCTATAGCTTCTTCCTTCTCCTCATATGCATATCGTTTAACATCGATCAGGAATGATAGGCGTTATCGCCATCGGAAACGGAGACCTGTACGCTGCGGACATCATCCTGATCGACCTTTATTTTATTTCCCGGCGAATGAGAAAGGGGGATTCGGGGGTTTAGTCCTTGCTTTCAGCCTCCTAGTGAATAAAACTCATCTTGGAATCCTGCGTGGTTCTTTGTCCAAGGGCCACCTCTTGCAAGTTCATTTCATTTAGCAAATCATCCGTCAAGGGGTACGGAGCCTTTTGTCTTCCCGCTCTCTCTCGGCTTCCCCAGTTTAACTTCGATGTTGTTTCCTGGTAGCTCGGTTGATAGTCAGGAACCAGCCAACCACATCGCGATGCCTTTCCCCCTCTTTTGCTACCATCCCGCCTGTGATTGGAAGTTGGACCCAGTGGACCCGGTCATGGTGAAACCCGTGGCTTTTCGCAGGGCGAATCAACTGCCAATGCTTCATATGAGATGGTCAACGAATAAATTTACTACTTCCCCGTCCGCATTTACAATAGCCGAGTGCAGGCATGCATCGTCGTGAAGTGAATTACGCTGATGGGATGGCATGTGATGGTTCTAATCTGATGTCCATAGAGGCATTTTATTTTTATCATTGAAGCTTCATATCCGATTCTTGAGTGATGTTGAGACGTCCTCGAAGATGTTTACAACAAGTTACACTCCAGTTACTAATTGCTCCCGAAGCTCTTGGGGAGGAATCGACCCAATCTCTAACTCTAGGCTTTCATGAGCCCCTGAGGAAACCTTCAGACGGCGTTTATGTTGCCCGCTTGCAGTGGAGTGCAAGAATACAGCTCAACGGGATGCTTGGAATCAATCGCTGGATGCAGTTCCTCTTACGGTGATTTTATTTATCTCACCCGCATATCAGAATCTAAAAAATTTGCGATTCTATGTCCCTCCTGGGCATTCACCCTTGGAGTATATCTGTGTTTGCTGCTCTTGTGTGATTTAAATTCGATAATTGGAGTTATGTATTTTGTTCGGCTGCTAGTTGATGATCCTTGCATGCATGACCCTTCAAGCCACCACAAACTCCACAAACACTAAACACCAAATTGCAAAAAGTCGAAAAAAGAAAAGAGTCGAGGGAAAATATAAATGGGATATTTCAGCTGCATTTTATCTCGCATCATAAATATTGCGCGCTTGTGTTTTTTTGGTTTTCCGATCTGAGCGTTTTAGTGCAACCGCATCATCACTCGTACTTGGAACAGACGTTTTTTGACGTATCCAAGTACGTCGCATAGTTTTCAGATAACATGCATGCACAAGCAACAATTCTGAAATATGATGGTTTGGATTTTCATGTCAACGGACGTAGCAATTATTCTTGTTGAATGACATCGCCCCCCGTTTGCCTGCACGCAGCAAATTTGAGAAACTGTTTCGATGCTGAAGGACAAGGACTGAGACATCGTCTGATACACACAGAATGCTTGCCGATACGCATAGATAGGCGGAACTTAAAGTTAGACTAGGTAGTTAACTACAGAGTAACTAACTCAACTAATTAACAGGTTGAATAAACCATCCGCAGAATTGTTCAGACCCAACTTGGCTTGTGAAAACTTTAGATTCTTTGATGAGTTTTTGGGGGTCTATTTCAGCCCTTTCAACTTGACTAGACGAGACACCAGAGCTCTAGAGACCCCAGACCAGCTCAACAACTCTCTGCATCACCGCCTCCCGATTTCTTCCACGGTTGTGATTGTATGGGAAACATCTACCGTCTTCATGATCCCATGTCCGGTAAACGAATGACCTCCGCGATGATGGCCATGCGAAGTGCCTGGCTGGTCAGCCCGGATTGCAGTCTCGACCTTCAAATCCGACTGTGTCTGTGGTGGTAGAATGCCTTGGTCAGATCCCGTCTCATTGAAACTGCCCTGTGAGCCAATTATCTTGGAACTGGATCCGGTCAGCGTATTTGTTCCAGCCAGCTCGCAATCGCAACTCCTGCTGCCATTTCGCGACATGTATTCATTCGATATGCGGTTGAGAAGGGCTGCAAGTGACGGGAGACAGGCGCAGATTATACCGATGCTCACTTCGGCGTTCCTGTGTTGGTTGCCCGGTTCAGTTTCAGCAACCTGAATGCAAGTAGACCGTGCGAGCGAAAGCTAAGAGGGGAGGAATTTGATCACCTACCCCCAGAGATTGATTTGCATGAACACATAAGTCTGATCTTCAGCCTTCCCCCTTTGAACAATCAACACCAACCTCACTATGCTCGACGCACAAGCCAACCCACCCGCACCTAAGATTCCAATGACCCGAATCTTTTTCCTGAGCGACATCTTCAGAGAATGGGTCAGGAGAAGTGGCAGGATCAAAATCGTCAAGTCGCTCACGACACTAATAATTGCATCCGCCAGGATGATTGCCCGTTCATCCAAACAGGAGCCGTTTGAGGTCTGACCCATCCAGAAGTGGGAAATGGGAATGCAGATGCGGATCTTGACGATGATGGCCGGGATATAGTATGCGAGCAGCACCCCGAAGTATATGTATATGAACCTCACCGTTTTTCTGTACGGGGCGAATACTCGGGTCAGGATGAGGAGAATGGATGCCTTTGTGAGAAATGCGGCTGGTCCGTATATGACCATTGTACCGTACACAGTCTATTTCGGTTCTCAATCCGGCCGGTTTGCCATTGTTCAGCCCCTGGTTCCTGTACACGGATCGGGATACGGAGTGGTCCACTTTCCTTACGCACCTTGTTGAATGGGATAAAGTCCTCCTTCGGGACGTTCCATTGGTGAGAGCCGCCACCATATTTTCCCACTTCAATGGCATCAAAATCAGTCCATTGTATGAAACATGTGAAGAAGTGTTATGTCCGGGAAGAGAAAACTGACTCAAAATCGCAATGATGGAATACCCAATTCCAAGAAACTAGAGAGAACAATCAGCCACAATTCCCCTTGCAACTGACCAAGCAAGGTTTCGGTACCCATGCAAGCGAACAACACCCTGTGGATTTATATTTATATATTTTATTTAGCACATCAGCTTAAGGGTGTCTCCCCGACAGCAAGATTGAAGGAAAGAATACAGCCAGTCTCGCGGAAATCGGCTTTGGAAAAGAGCAGCTTACAGTCTTCCCGTCCAAATCCCCTGTTGATATAGATTCGAACGTACATCCGGAGGAAGAAGAATAACGATGTGAAGGAGATGCAGAGACCCTGGGTGACAAGGTTCCAAATATGCAGTGCCTCCATCGTGCCATCGAGGTTTGATTCCATTCCTGGAGGAGGAACCAGGGCTGGCTCTGATGCAACGTCCATACTTCGCTTTCCTTCTCTTGTTCTCCTTTTTCTTTGACCCGAATTAACTTCTCGGTAACTTCTCGATCCCCTCCGGTCTTCAGGCTCGCTTCCCTGGCCCCTTACTTGCAAATCGACTAAAAGAATGGCGAAAAGCAGAACTTCTTTTCAAATTAGTCGTGATCAAACGATACTCTTTCGAGTCAGACAAGCCATGAAAACTAGATAGATGAAATTGAGGGTAGAAAAGGTGAAAAGGGAGAGGTGATGGAGCTGGGAACGACGAAGGGACGGCTGAATGGAGAATCAGGGCTTGTTCGCCGGAATACCGCGATATATATCGGGACTTTTTTTTTCTTTTCTTTTTCTTCTTTTGTATCCCTTTCCCTATATTCGTCGTCGACCGTTATGGAATTAAAATGAGGCGCTCTCTTTTCGCAATACCTTCTCGCTCCCTCTAAATCAGCTTGAACCAGCCCAGTCCAGTTACCGTCCACATCTAACAAAAATTCCGATATTGATGGCACAATTTTATTATCAACGGTTATGATTAGCAGCAAGAAAATTTGGAAAAACGATCCCCTTTATGTTAAGAACGATGAGGCACGAGTCCGCCCCCTCCTTTTTTTCTTTTATTTTTTTATTATCTTGCATCAAAAGAGGAGTGAAAAATGGCCTTTGGGCCACCGTGTGCGACGAGGTTACCAAAAGAGAACGCAACAAGAAACAGTCATCCTTAGGACAGATGCTGGTATGTATTCTTGCGGCCCCTTTCCCTTTTCTTGTGCTGTTTCAACTCCAAACTTTAACAAAATCTCAGGGTCTCAATGCGCGGCTCATGCATTGAAGTGTGCATATTTTGAGACCTTTTTGTCTCTATTTTCCTATTCTATCAGTTTGTGCGGTTCAAATCGTGAACCACTTTCCTACAACGACGGTTAAACAGAGTGGTACTACTTGTGTTGCGCCGTGTTAACAGGCACAAGATATGTACTTTAGTAAGTAAATCTGATGAATTGGGACTGAAGGGGAAAAACTGCGTTGTCTCCAGTTCAATTGAAGACATGGATTCATACATCTCCATAACTCCTCTCCGTAGCTGTTCCTGATTACGGATCCCGGTTGCCCTCTGTCCCTAAGGGCTCAATGGCTGAGCATGTTTTAAATTGGAGATGTGGCGCACATATATTAACAGAGTGGTTAAGCTCCCAGCATCCAGGAAATGGCAAATTCTTTCGTGCCCTGCAAGCCAAGTTGGATTAGGCAAAGGATGACAAAAGGGCGCACAAGCCGCAGGGAAACCTCTAGTGGGAATAACAACTATAAGGAAATGCAACGCTGGATTCGAAATGATTGAGGAACAGGGTCAGTGCAGATACAGTCATACAGGACAGGCTCCACCGAAGTTGCTTTGGCTGCGGAAGAATCAGATTCCTGGCGTCCTACTACTACTCGAAACCCATCTGTATACAATCCGTAATTTGAGCTTGACCAGAAGCTCCAAGTAGCAATTACAGACGGATCTGATCCCGTGCAGATGGGGATGCACTCCTGAGAATACTCAGCTCAGCTTTCGTGTTTTCAAGAATTCCTAGGCTAGAGGTCCAAACAAGAACACGCAATCGAGCTGCGAACGACGAGATTATATGCTAATTACATGGATTACATGATGCATGCATATGCCATGTCCGTTATTTGTCAGGGCTTGAAACCGATCACATTACTTCACACTTCCCCTTGTTATATCGATGCTACAAACCTTGCAATTCCCTTCAAATGATGCCACTCTAAGTTCTCCAACTGGCGCTCCAAGCAGGTATCGATAACAGACTACGCAAGTTATGAGTATATCACAAGGATGGATCCGATATTCAAAGGAAGCAGCCCAACCTCCCTTCCTTTATATCTATTCTACATCTCTTCTCTAACAAGGATTTGGAATCTGTCAATCTGAATCTTGTTTATAAAATTTTACTCCGCGTGAGAACTCCCGAGCAAGTCCCCCAGGAATTGGACACGGTTGAGAAAAAGTCATCAACAGGGCCGATAAATATACTCGTCCTGTCCGGTCATCATAAGACAGCGGTGGTCCATCACGCTCACCCCTCAGCCGTGCACACCAAAGCAGCCTTCGATTTCAAAATGCACTGGGTGGGTGTGGTCTGAAACCGTTGGACGCGGGGGGGGGAGGGAAAGAAGCTATAGAATAGCACAATAGTAATAACTATATGATAGTTTTGCTTGCTCGTGAAACTTTCCTGTCGGATACGTACAGGTAAATGGTGTATTCGACCAAATGAGAGGGTTTTATTTTTAGGTATAGCGACCATCTATACATAAGAGGCGATATGAAAATTGATCATTTCAGGAGTCTATATGTTGGTTAAGTGAAATCATAGTCGACTGCCTGTCCATTTTCACCGAGATAATAAGTTTTATGACTATCATCTGTTAGAAGGGAGAACACGAGAGAAGAAACTAATGATTTGTAGTAAAAGGTTTGATGGAGTATGAGACAGTAAGAAGATGATATATGTGGGTTTGGTTGGCAGTCAGAGATTAGCTCAAGAGGATAGGGGTAGGTAAGTGCCGTATGCTATCTGGTCCGGAGCAAAATACTACTGCTACCTCTATCAATCGATTTTCTTTGACAGGCCGGTTGGCTTGCTTTAATACGAAAACGGCAGAGCGGGGTGAGAAGACGTATGTGCCATGAATTATTATGAAGTCAACCAAGTGATATTAACAAAGAAACTGAAACAAAAACAGAATAATACTTTTAAATCATATTATTATAAATCCCGTAAATTAATATCAAAGATAAGTAGGTTACCGTTAATCATTGAAATCGTGGAAATCAAATCCAGACCGTAGCCTCAACGCATCAAACCAGGGGGGGAAAAAAAGTCCGAAAAGCGCAACTCGTTCTGTCTGCATAACGGGAAACGAAGGCCAGGTGAGCTTATTAAGTTGCTTTTCATTCTCCGGCCATTTCCCTTACATTCGTATGACTGACACATTTTGTCATAGACATCTGAAAGCACCCACGGCAAAGATGCTTATTTCCAAAAAACGATCAAAAAATCGCGATTGCGTTTGGTGGAGAAGAGACACCACCGGGCATATTGAGAGGCACCGACGAGAGGAAGAAGCTCCATCTCCCTAGCTCTTGGCATGTGCGCGAGAGACCTTCAAGGTCGAATAGCTCCCCTGATGCAAGGTTAGATAACGACTCCCAGAAACATCGATGTCTTTCGATATTATGTCTCATTGGTTAAGCTTTCAGCATCAAAATTCTCGGAATACATACCAATTGGAACTCCCCATCCAGCAAGCAAATATTCATGAAGGAATATTTCAGGGTTCTGGGGGGGATAGACCTGACAAATGCAAGAGTAAAAAGTCAGCCAAGATTTGGGGTGGATATTCCGTAGATCTTGTCATTGCTCAGCAACACCCACCTCCCAGCTGATCGCGTCACCTGCAACGGCGGAAAAGCCCGTGTTCCATAACCACCGGAGCATCTCAGTCGTAGCTTCAACGCCCGCATGTTCGGGTTTGGGATCCACCGAGTACGCCCGTTTTTGATCATCAGTCATAAGGTTGTCCCACTCATTGGTCACCCCAATTCTGATAAATAAGATGTCTCCGCGTTTAAATGTCAGGTTACATTCATTTGCGATATCTAAGATCTCCGATAGGAGGATTTGATGGGTTGAAAAGGTGGTGTATTTCATCCCCTTTTTTGCGGCATAGGAGGCATAATCAATTAGAACTCCGCGACCTTTGAGAGTATTATGAAACACGGGATATCAGCGTCACGGTTTCCAATGCGTCGAGATATTATAGTATACGATGAATCAAAATGTATGATATGGTGAAAAATACCTGTAATTCCTTGGCGAGCCCAGTATTGTATCCCTATGCGATTATTTGATCGATTAAGAATCTCACCGGCGGTGGTGCCTCCGTAGAACACTCGTTTTGCTTCCTTGCCATCGGTAGAAGGTACATGTTGTGAAAAATGACGAAGTCCGTCCCATTGACTGCTTTGTTCTTAATATGTCTGTCAACTAAATAGAACACCAACAAAGACAGATAAGTCGAGTCTGGTAACGCACGGGGGTTCATGATGTAAACATCATCAAAAGCAAGGCCATCTAAAAGAGAGATGATATGATGCTGACAAGGTTGCCGATTCAAATTAGCCAGTTCCAGCTTTGTCATCTCCCAGCCAAGAGTCACCCGATTGCCCGTCTTTATTTCTCCTGCTGCTTCTGCCACTACCGTTGGGGTCAAAAGAGCGAGCTTTCCCAAGCCCTCCTCCGCGCTCCCGGGAGTGCCAATCCACACTTGGCGAGGGTTGGGGAGCTCGTCGAAGGGTATGTCGAATGGCGATGCCTGGGCCATGGCTGCAAGTTTCAATCCACCACCAGGTCGATGACAGTGTAATAGTGGTCGTATGATATTCTAAGACTGCGTGCTTGAAAGTGTTAACAAGCGAGATGGGAGTTGAGATTAACGTCACACAATCCCACTATGTGCGACACTGCGATGGACCACAGAAGGGTTTGATTGAATTAACCTTTATGGGACCAAAACACCCAGGCGGAGTGGACACATCACAACGACATTCTAGTCAGATATATGAATAAGTGTCTAAATAGCTCTTCCACTGTAGAAGATAAGGGGATGTTAAAATCCATTTCCCTCGTAGGTTGGCGAACATCCTGACCTCAAGAGAACACGGCGGGAAGTCACAAAATGCCTCATCTGCCGGACTTGTAAACAAAATTCTTACAAGAAAGGTTTAAACACAAACCCCGAGAATTGCAAGGGGAGCTTGTAATATATAAGAAAATAGGAACAAAATTGCAGTCCCTGGTATGCTACTCGCATCCAATTTAACTTCATGTGCATCTTGGAAACTAGAATGAAAAAAAAAAAAATATATATATATATCGTCGGGTCTTTGTGCCCAGCGGTTAGTTGCGTAGTTGGGAGGCGCAGATATAGCCGTAAGTGATCAATGACTTCAACCTTCATCCACAGAGAGAGTTTTTCCCTTTTTATTTTTTCCCTTTTCGCCCTCTTCGATCTGCATATATGATCATATAGGGACACACATCGCAGGAGATTGGTCATGTTCCCCCCACAGAACATGCTTCTCTTAAAAGATCGTTGAAATTAGTGCATTTTGGGCGAACATAGAACGCCATTTACAGCCACGAGGTCATCATGGCCGTTTAATACTCTATTCAATTTCAGACTGCCGTTCCCCTATAAATGGTAAAAAGGATGGAGATATAACTTTTGTCCGGTCTAACCCTGTGCACCCAATGTTACCACATCCAGCACATGGGTGACACGGAGCCGGACGAACACCGCAGGCATGAACGGGATTGGAGGGGGATTGGGGTTCTAATTCCAAAGCGGTGACTAGCCGGGATTCCAGATATCAAATCGTTGGAGAAAGAAATTGAAATGGGCGAAATGGAACATTCCAACGTTCTTCTGGACAGGTTTGACGCTGGTTAAGTTAGTCAGCCTGGCTCAGCGCCTGTGCTGCTGAGTCATCCGAGTGTAATATCAAAACCTCCTACTTTCAAGTTGGGGAGATTTTGGGAACAACAAATATCACACCGATGCAGAGTTTGGCATCGCAATCGTCGACTCCAAGGCCTGGAGAGCGGGGACTGGGGGGAGGGAGAGGAGGCCTTCTTGACATGCTCTTGATTACGGGATTCTCCACCGAATTGGCTCTGGAATTCGTTCGTAGCCTGCTGGTGCATTCTTCTCAAAAGACTTTTCACAGCCATTGCCAGCCATCTCCTATTTAAAGCAATAGTCATACTGACCTGTGAATAGGTGGATGTCCTGTACTGGCTACAGTTTTTGCGTGAGTCTATTCTCACAGCCTGGCTGTTGCTTTTTTGTACCCCTTACTGCAGAGCAGGGTGGGGCTGGTACATTTGCACTGCAAGGATAGTTTCCATGCACAATCAACAGCCATTCGCCAGATACGGCTTCAATATCATGAAACAAAGGAACATTGGGGTCCTATTCTGTCTAAAATATGCAATTGCCCGTTTTCATCCAATACCGTTGCATGAAAATAATATAGTCTCATGAATATGCAATCCGGGATTACCCCCGAAAAATATCAAAAGCCAGTTGGCTAGATGCCAATGGGCCATGTCGGATTACACAACAGCTCGTGGTTTTTGGGCAAACTTACCTTGGGTGACTTTTGGTGGTTACTATACACTTTATTACTTCCAAATTTGTATATTTAGGGGGTTTTCTCGTTGTTCTTGAAAATAGTTCGTCTTACCAACCGAGTGTGGTGTTGCAATACGTGTGGCTCGGAACTTCTATGAAGAGTTTCTTCCTCTTACGACATTGAGAAATTTTCTTGACTCTGAGTATGTTAAAACCGGCTCATCGCTTCGTTCGGGACCTGGCATCATGATCTGAAGGCCTAGAGGAGGATTACAAAATCATAACAGGAGAGACCTTATCCATACTAGATCTTTACTCATCACGATTTTAACAAGCTACCCTAGTTTGTGTTCTTTTTATCATCTAATTCATTTTTCGTTCACTCTCTTTCAAGACGAGTTCTTGCTGCTCCAGGTCAAGTTTTGTTTTCATTTTTTTCCTTTTTCCTCTCCTTATGTACTCGTCATTTCTTTCCCGATGATATCTTAAATCTTAATATTTCTATTCTTCCCTCCCACTGCGAACCTCGCCAGCTGCTTCGACCTGCGCTCGATATGGCAAATTTCGGAGCTCAGACCAGTCGATATAATCGACTGGTTATAGTGTTCGTTGCTTTGGGCTCCTTTGTACGTTCAATGCAATTTTGTTTCCTTCCACTTCTTCCGAGTCTTTTTTTTCCTATAAATTTTAGGCTAACCAATTTTACGGGGTATTTCTTTAGACCTATGGTTACTGTGCCTCTATCATAGGCAGCACCATCGGCCAGCCTGGATGGTATTCATTTTTCAATCTCCCTTCGCAGGACGAGCCCGGTTATGCCACAGTTACAACAAATGCAATTGCTACCGCCAACGGCGTCTTTAGTGCTGGTGGTGCTGTCGGGTCTTTGTTTATGATGTGGTCTTGCGAAGCTGTTGGCCGCAAAGTCAACATTCAATTTGGGTCGTTCCTTGCAGTTGTTGGCGGTGCGTTGCAGGGAGGGGCAGCCAACTTGAAGTATGCCAGAGAATCTCACGACTGTTTGCCAGCGGTGACCATGCTAACTTTGCGGATAGAATGTTTCAAGCTGGTCGGCTTGTCTCTGGCATGTCAATTGGGATTCTTGTCACTGTCTGTCCAATGTATCTCGCAGAAATGTCAAGCCCATTTGTGCGAGGCTGGCTGGTTGGACACCATCCAATATTCCTAGTTTTTGGCTACATGTTCTCGAGCTGGGTTGGCTATGGATGCTACTTTGCAACAGAGAGCAATCCCACCTTTGCCTGGCGTTTCCCGCTCTGTTTGCAGATTCTAAGCCCTCTCATTTTACTTGCGGGTTCTCCTTGGCTTCCACGATCTCCTCGATGGCTAATATCAAAAGGAAAGCTCGAAGAGGCCTGGGAGGTTCTTCGCCGTTTGCGACGATCAAAGGGCGACCCAGATGACCTAGTTGCAAAAGAGGAATTCGTTCAAACAAAGGAGCAGCTCAAACTTGAAGCTGAAAAGCTTGCCGCCACCGGCCATGGAGTGTGGACTGCGGTTTTCAAGAAAAAGTCCTACCGACAAAGGATGATCATTGGCTTTCTGACTCAGTGGGGAGCAGAATTTGGAGGTCCCTTGATCATTGTAAGTTTACACAAGCATAAAAGGTTGAACTAGCAGTTGCGATTCGTTACTAACATCTCATTATTCAGAATAATTATGCAGTCATTCTATACCAAAACCTTGGCATGATGGGTCACATGCCGCTACTCCTGAGTGCCCTATGGTTGACCACGGCAGGCCTCATTTACAATCCCACTGGGGCGTGGTTGCATGATAAAGTCAATTCTAGAAGAACCATGTTTATAACTGGGTTTATCGGCATCGTTGTAACGACTTCATGCTTAGCCGCTATGACCGCTACATACGCCGGCACGCTGAATCGGGTTGGCAACGGGTTTGGAATATTCTTTATTTTTTTATATCTCGCATTCCAAGGGTAACTGACCCAAATTGTAGCAGTCAACTTTATACATTCATTTCATTTTTACTAATTGCTCTTTCAGAACCTTTTGTGACACCACAATGTACCTATACGTGTCTGAAATATTCCCCACTGAGATCCGTCCCATTGGGATGGGGTTTTCCATCTTTGGCCAGTTCGCATGTAAGTGTGTTCATCGGAGCATCTATCACTGGGAATACCACCCTTTACTAACGATTATACAGCGACGATCATTCTCTTGCAAACCGCTCCAATCGGATTCGCTCAGGTTGGCTGGAGATACTATCTGGTTATTATTTGTTGGTCGATATTTTTCATTCCAGGTACTTATGAGCTCTCACGATTATTTTCGGCGTTTCAACCTCACCAATGAAGTCTAAATCAGATTGGCGGAAGAAAAGCCACAACAATGCCAGAGCTAACACTAACATATAATGGATAGTTATATACTTCTTCTTCCCGGAAACCGCCCGTCTAACACTGGAAGAAATCGCGAGAAATTTTGGCGAAGAAGTTGCAGTTGTCGTTGTAGATGCAACCGATGAGGATAAAAGAGCTCTGGAGCACAAACTTCAGAGCGCTGGAGTGACAAGATCGACAACCGCTACCTCACGTTCAGATCCGGATTCAGGTTGAATTTTTGAACAGAGATGTGACACGACGTGGTACAGTGTTTTCCCTGCCTTTACAACGCATGATCGCCACCGCGTGTCTTGCCTTTCTTGTTTCTTAAGTTGTATTATTTACTTCGTGGTATGCGATGGTATGATTGGTGAAGGGACTGGATACAACTAGATAGAAAGCAGTTATAATTCTGCCACTTCCCTTATTCCGTTCCCACTTTGGTTGTGGGTTGGTGGCAGGACAAGTAGGAGTAGGGTTGTGTTGCCTGTACCACAGCTTTTGCAGAACGGGAACGTCGGATTTTTGGGATATACCTAACAAACATATAGTTATATAATCGAACTATAATCTAGAACACCGGAATCTAGTTGAAAAAAAAAATCGAATAAAAATAGATATGCACAATGATGCACTTGTCATCACTGAAATTTGCCTATTTCAAACTTATATAAAATCCTCTCCTTTGGGATAATAGCTAGCCTCACCAGAAAACTTAGATGCACACGACAATATGGATATGTAAATATGGAGCACGAGAAGTTCAATCCTTTCGTAAGGTCTCATTTCCACGAAATCGGGGAGGACACGGAGGTGGCGGGTTCGCGATTGAATTACAGATACTTACATTTAAATGTCAACATCATGCATTGAAGGGAATCACCCCTTTTTGAAAATTGGACTGTACTGTATTGGCCTTGTTGCCGCTGGTCCTCCCTAAACCACATAATTAGAAACAATACAGGAAAAGGGATGGGCATCGACAGTGCAACCAGCTACATACCATCGCATCAAGCTCTCAGACGTCTGGTATCGGCACCTCTGCTTTAAGTCTCCCATGCCCACCATCCATTTCCCTCTACGGATATCTGCTGGCATAAATGGCACTGTCTATAGTCGTGTACCGATATGGATGTACAGAACTCGAGTTGGTCAATGCTACGTCGCGGACGAGTGAATAGAAATTTTGCTGGTTGTTGTCACACAAGGGGTAGCAGGGGCGCTGAAGATATACATCATGTCGTACGCCCGCTTCCAGTGTGGACTGTGGACAGGATTGCACAGCAGATATAAACGTTAAGAGACGGATGTTGTGGGAGTTGAGTTAAGATGGTTGGGAGTCACTCGTGGCTGGGTTGAATAAAAGGGGATGGTTCCCTGATTTCCTCCTTTATGTTGCCATATTGCCATAGCTTATATAGGGGGAAATCTCCAATTTGGGGATTTAATGAAATGGGAGGGTGATATATCAATGTTGTTTTAGCATCGTATATGAGTGGATGACGTATTGTACATATCCGTTTACTTTGTGGTTGGGAGCAAGTAAAAAGGGTTCGAGGGTTTTGAAGCAAACACAACTGAGATTCCAGGGAAATTCGGAATTCTATTAGAGTGATAGTATTGGAAGGGGGGAAGATGTATGAAGAGAGAAGCGCTTTAATAACAACCATGATTAATGATTATACCCAACCAGCCGAAGAAACAATAAGCACTGCCGTATAAACGCCGGGACATTGACCGAGGACGAAGAAGCCGGATGGGGGGGGAAGAATGTATATTCTGTATTAGCACTTGGAATGGTGAAAAAGCCAACAATCACTTCCTAAGCAAGGAATCAGACATGGAAAGAAAATAGTCTCTTCCCTTTATCAACCAGACAAGCCATCCCCATAGAACAAACAACCAAATCTGACCCGTTCCTGTCCTTGAACCAATTGGCGCAACCAAAAGCGTCATTTTCTTGCTTGAATACTGCGGCCTCTTACTCTTTGAATCCTCGATATCATCTTTGAGATTGGCGACCAAAACACTGACTTGTCCTTCAACCCTGCTCAAGAGACGGTCTACGTAGGAAGTTATGTCGCCAACGGCGTAGATCGGCAGTTTTTCCTTGTTCTTTGCGCCTTGTCTTTGGACGCGGAATTCAGCATCAACGGGGACCCATCCATCCTTGTCTTGCAGTTCTGAGGGTATGAAGCTGTTGTTGGGAATGACACCTGTGGTCGAGACATATGCGTCTGCGGTGAGGATTTCTCCATCTTCTAATGTGATGTTCCATTTCTTGGAGGTCGGATCTTGTGAAGCGCCAGCAACCGTGACAGAAGTGCGGACTTTGACACCCAGTCTGGAGAGAATGTCATACGCATTCTGACTAGCACTGGGCTTTAGGCCAGGCAGAATTCGATCGGTACGTGTCAGGAGGGTTATCGATGTATCCTGTTTGCTTTGGAAAGCCTCCGCCAATTCCCCAGCAAATTCGACACCAACAGCGCCAGCTCCTCCAATAACGACGGTCTTGGCTTCTGACAAGGTCTGCTGCCCCTGCTCAATCGCATGTTGGAGGTCATCCGATGCCGTTGCTTTAAACGGTGCTAGAATACTATCTTGGCCCAAGGTCGCCTTTGTAGTACTTCCAGATGCTATAACAAGATAATCGAACGGAATGACCAGGTCCCTTGACTCGTCATCGTCAGCTCCGATAGCATCGACAGTGACTGTCTTGTCATCCACATTTATCGACCTCGCAACTCCATGGACGAACGAGAAAAGCTCGGTATCGTACTTCTTGAACAATTCCGGAATGGAGGACAGATACTTTTCTGGTACAAATGCTTTAGGCTTTGCTAAGATGCGAGGAGCGGCGATGTTGAAGAAGTGAACTGCTGAGGGGTTTATGAGTTTGACTTTCGCGTTTGGGATGCTCTTCAGGATGGCATGCGCAGTTTTGATTCCTGCCCAGGAGCCACCAACTATGACGACTTTTTTTGTGTGTGTCATCTGAGCGGGAAACTTGAGGTGAAGATAAGGCAAAGGATCGAACGGGGAGCGAGAGTGAAAAAGAGAAGAAAAGGAAAGAAATTATTCCGACGTGAAGGAGGAAGACTTTCAGAATTGATATGAATTTAGAGACAACCCATTAATTATTCATAAGCAACGCTGTGACAAAGCAAAACTTTGTAGAGTGGAGAGAGTCCTCTGAGATGATGGTGAAAGTTCCTGGATCCACCTGGAACCATGGAACCATGAACCCCATTTCCAAGGGGTGATGATATGTCAGATTAGCAAACCGTGCATTGCATATCTTCAAACTGAGAAGTAAATTGCATCCGCACCGTATTGTGCTCCGTACAATGATCCGTAGATCATTCTCATGAAATTTGGGCTCACTTTATCATTTCTTTTGGAGAATAATAACACCTGTACATGTTAGTCATACTATTGTTGTTAACTAATTCATTCTCTTCTTCAAGGCAATCTGTGAGCTCTGCGTAATAATAGAAATCTTTTTAAAATTCCCAGGTCCTTCGAGAAAGCATCAGAGTAATCCCGGGATGCAGCACTTGATTTCCGTCCCGCACAAGTGATCCAGAAGGTTGAGAATCAAAATGAGATCAAAATAAGAATGTTTTAGCGCAAAACTTAAATGAGCTAAAGTAACTACCGGAGCCCGGGTATTCATCGAACAACAGAGAATGTCTCTCTCTATCAGCCACTCAAAGTCTGGGCTGTGAACCGGGATGAAAAGTATTCCGGCTGTTTTATGAACCAGACTCTGGCCCAGATGCCATTCAGGGATCCATACCACGCCCCATCATATTTGTCAGGCCCTTACCTTTAACCAACCTTGATCCTAACCCCCAAATCTAATCCCAACCTACCCCTAAGCCCGGTGTTGAGGGCGGAGGTTGAATAGAGATAGATGTATCGATGATGTATTTGCAGATTGTGTAGACTGTTTATTTTAGAATGGGTGACAGACGTTACAGAAACATGGCCTCATTTTTCAACCAAGGTCAACTGCAACCTCCTTCAAGCGGGTTAAATAAGCCAGCATTGCTTACATTGAAAATTAGTATAACTGTCCATTGCTGGGCCAAATTGAGAAAAATTTTCTGTCTGATGATTTCGTGCCTCTGAGTTACGGAGCAGAATCATTTTAATTCCCCACTATTATTTTTACGGAGCTGGAGATATGCTATATAAAGGCAAAATCAACCACTTAACTAAATATTAGGCGTCGGACTGCTATTGGTAGTTGAAGTGTTTAGTTAAGATTCAACATATTTTAACCTAGAATTACAGTTTCGTGAGGGCCTGAGCCTCCTAAACCCATGCCTAGATTCCAGGGGGGAACGAGTCCACTATTCATTCTAGTTTTGATTTTAGCATAGTTTTAGACTTTTTGATAACCATCACAATGAATATGGCGAAGATACTCAGTCTTCATGGTCATCATAGGAAACCTCCAATTAGTAAATGGGTAAATAAACATTCTTACTCATGGTTGATGAGACACACTCAACGTGATGAAGCGAGTGAATTGCATCAAATATCACATCAGCGAATACTGTCTTCACACAGTGTCAACGCGAGATGCAGCCGGGTTTGACATCATCTTTTCTCAAATTCAAGACTAAGAATATCATTTGCTGCATTAACACCCAGTTAATGCTCTAAAAAAAAAATCGGAGTCTGTAATCAGACAACGCTGCTCAATCATCGGGCAACCAAGCGGCCCTGGCCCAATCTGGGGCGTCCAATGATTGATGCGGACAACAAGGCTGACTTGTGTTTGGATTCCAGCCTAGTTGCAATCCTTCCCGCTGCTTCATGGAAAACTCCAAGGACGACGACGAGCCCATTCTTCTCGAACACTTCTAGTGTTAGTTTGACCTTCTGCTGAGATCAAATAGAGCTTCTATTATATATCATTTCCTCTGCTCCTGCCATCCATTATAGGCCATTAGAGGGTCTAGGCGGATATCAAGAGCCTAATCTATCAACACGGACAACCCCGCTGCTGACCATGTCCCTAGCCGCAGCTCGAACTCGTTCCCGGATGGGGATTCAACTCGTCCGATATCGAGGGAAATACTACTCACAACTGCTTCAACCAAATTCTGATGCGATTTCAGAGCTTCTTTACACCATACCTGCAGACAGTGTGGAGTATATCCGTAGGTTATGAGCCAGTACTCCTCAAGCCAGAGCTAGAGTCTTAAAAAGTCACAAAGCTGACATGAAACGAATCGATTCAATATGTAGTGTGGCTAAAAAGAAAGCGCCAGCAATATGCTGCCAAAGAGAAATCACTTGAAGACTCAGTGTTCACATTGGATAATGATCAGACTCATAGTCGCGAGTATGTAACGCAGAAATTGAGAGAGGCTGAACTGCGCAACCTACCGTCGACACTGGCCCCAAAATATCCGAACCATATTCCATTCTTCCAAATTGACCTTGACTTGCAATTATTATCTATCTCGCCCGAAATCCACTTCAGCCTGCGCGATTTGCCACCTGACACCTCTGCATCCTCTTCTACTCCTTCCAATCCCGCCCTCCTGTGGTCGCTTCTGCACAACGCGGCAAATCACTCCATCCCGCTCTCATCCCTGGTGCTGGGTGAATCGGAAAGCGACCTTGACACCTATGAGCCGAGTTTCTCAACAATACCACTTTCAGCAAACAGGTGGCTGGCCTCCAATTCCCGCCTGCACCAGGGCTTTTATGACCTGGCATTTTCCAACTTCCAAATCGCGTATTCTGAACAGCTGAATCAAGATTATTTCAGATGGTCTCCAGATGATTTTATATTTCGCGAGCTTGCATACGCAATCATATCTTTTGCATCTGGGCGACTTTCCTTCCGGATTGAAGATTTACCGTCTTGCTGCGGAAGGCAATACGGATCCCCTTGGCCCTCGGAGCTGAACTTTGGATACCACTTAGCCGGCCACGCTCCGGGTTCCGCCCCCGAAGGAACACTGTATTGGTTTGACAACGTGCTAGTCAGCCTGGTTCCAGATATTCCGGAACGAATACACCTTTACATTGACAAGGCAGTCAACTTTGGCCTGGAACAGGGCAATCTTCCTTTTCAAGCCGTTTTGATTTCCCTGTCAACAATTGTGCTTCTGGACGTGGAAATTGACAATGGGATTCCCGTAGTGAAACATACAGAACCACTCAAGTTATTTGAGACCTGCCCTAAGCCACACGGTTCTTCGCCGGAGCCATCCCCCAGCAGCTCGTTGATCGACCTCCGGATAACTTCGACGTATTCACCTGCCATTCCTCCACAACCATTACCGCATGAACAGGTATTCAGTGCCAAGGAGAGCTTCACTGCCTTATCAAATTTTTGCACCACTGCCACACTCCGCCATCTGAAACCCCATGGCCCAGACACCCAAGGCTGCCTGCCAAGCGAACTCTACTACATGATCCTCGACTTCACTGATAACGCCACTTTCCTCACATGCGCAAGAGTCTCACATCTCTTCCGGACATACTGTCTCTCGAAAATTCGTGTATGTGAGAATCAAACCGAAAATGACATAACCCCAAGCAGCCTAGGCAGCCTATTAGACACGTATACGCACCAAATCATCCAGGTCCGCTCCCCGCTTTGCTTGACACTGCAAAATAGAGAATCCGGAGAGCTGTCAGAGTGGTCTCCGTGGGACGAGAAGGATATTTTGCATGGTGGTTCAGAGCCGCCGAAGTCGCTGTGTCTGGTCCCTGTGTTTGGGGAATCGGCTAGACTTAGCCAAAGTTCGAAGGCGATGAGTGTATTCTGGAAGGCATAGAAAGCCAGAGGTAGCATATGTGTATTTCTTCACGGGTTCTTTGCGTTTTCCTCTAAACCCCTCCCGTTCATCCAATTTTTTCCAATGTGCCCCTTTTTATTTTCGGTTTCTCCTACTCTTTCATAGTTCGATTGATCAGATATGATGCATTAGTATTAATGCTTGAAACTGTCATCGCGGCATAGCCGGTAATATGGGTTGTAAAGATCGACGCTTTGCTTCTTGAGGCGGGAATCGATTCAGCGTGCTTTGACATATTTATCTCAAATGGTGCAGTTGTACGTTTGATTCGCAGACAGGCACATGGAGGGCTTTGTAGCCCATCGAGATTGTCATTTTTAAGTGGGCAGGTAACTACGTATGGAGTCAATGATGTTCAGATGCACAGCCTGAAGCCCTGTCGAACCGGTGTTTCCCCAAGCCGGAGTTTCTGGAAAGTTCATTTTGTGAGGGAACCCGCTGGGAAAAGAATAGCCATATCGAACCCCACAGGAAACTAATGGTCCAGAAGTGGCCTGGGAACACTTTACACGGGGACTGGGCTGGAATATGTGTAAATGAGCATATCTCAATGCAAGCGCAACAATCTCGGGAGAAACCACAAGTGCTTAGTCATGCCTATCGATGTCCAAAATTCTGACATCATCATCTACTTCGATCTTCAACGACCAGAAACCATAAAGCAAATTTCAAAACAGGATTATTAGCAGGAATTATCAATCTCAAAATCGTGTAACTTACAATCAGGTTTTAAAGCCAAAGAAATAAAATTTCACCAAGTAAACGAAAATAAAACAAATCAGCCAATAACAGACAAACGCCGCTTGGTAGATATACACGGAGAAGTGAACAAAAAGGCAGTGAAAGAACGGAACTAACCCAAAACACAGCGGCATCGGGTATCAAGTAGTCAAAATGAAACTGGATTATGAAATGGAATAAATACGCTATTTCCGTAAGGGGTTGTGAATTTGGCACTTGGGTTATGTGTTGTCCATGAAGGGTGTGGATGCAGTAGGAATACCAGCAGTAGGAATACCAGGCCTGCACTGCGACAAAAACGATGGTCCTCGAATATGTATGATAGAAAATGGAATGAAAGTGAACTAGAGATCGCCAAGTTATACTGAAAGATTGAAAGTAATGCTGGTAAATGAAATCCGAGGTCGTTTAAAGGCAACGAAACGTAAGAGTTGTGAAAGCGGAGGCCTCCCCACCGATCACTCCGGATAGAAGGACAGACATAGAATGCCAAACCACGAGACGTGAATGTCCTCAAATGCTAACTTCCATGGAACTGCCAGCCGAAGAGAGCCCCTATCCAACGTCACGCTCGTTATTTGTATCCATTTAAACAAATCTATTGGAACTCCACCGCTCATCACCAGGTGTACCGCTCTTTTTTCGCAGCATAGCTCCTAAACCAGTAATAGCCTTAGTTCCCGCACGAGAGACGGTTTCACCCGTTTCATATAAACGCTTGATAGTAGTACTCCTTGGGCGGGCGGTGTTAATAGCGCAGTCTGTATTCATTCTCGAGTTCCCTGATGGGTTCCAGGTGCCAGTGCTGTAGTTCCAGCTCAAGCTGTTGGCATCAGACCGGGAGCTTGGTCTCGAGGATGAGGTCGAGACAAAGGACATACTGCTCAGATTCGTGGTGGACATGCTCTCACGCGGTATGTAGGTGTAAGCGCTGCGACGATGAGGCTTCAGACTTGAATTGATGCTCTCGCGTGATTGGGGTCGTTCAGACCGTAGTGGGTCCGATGGGTAGAATCGCTGTCTATAGCGGTGCGCTGGGGAATGGGCAGAGGAGTTGTCAGATGAGGGATAGTTGGGCATGCTGTTGACGCTGGCTAGACTGTTGATTGAGTGGGTTTTTTCATGAAAACCACTTCTTTTTGATGTTGGATGTAGCAAATTGGAATTGAATACATCCGGGAATGGTAAGTTTGAAGAATTGTCCGCAGGATTGGTGAGTGGTGGCGATGGATTGATGTTGATTTTCACACTGTTGCGGTAATGGCTATATGTTCCCTTTTCCGAGATTGAAGTTTTGGACATGGGTTGTTGATTCTGTAGCTGTATGGAACCGGGGCGGTGGAGAGACACAGTGCCTGAAGGAGGGGATTGAACGTCTGAAGAGATTGCTATTCCCGTTAGTTGTGGGACGGGAGGCGGATTGGTCTTCTTGGTGATCTTCCGGGATTTCCTATCCTCAGTCCCTTTGCTACTCCTCTCAGAATTAACTCGTTCTGCTACATAATTCTCAATTGTCTGGTGCCGCTGTTTGGAAGGGTTTCGTTCCAAGATGTGAGGTGATGGCAGGAGAGTATGTTTCTGAGGAAGCAAAGGATTTACGTCTCGCGAATTGCTCCGGGAGGCAGGGGAAGAAAGTTCGGATTCGGAACCGAAGAAGTGGCTATTACTTCCACGCACGTTGAGGTCAGAAAGTGCAGATACAAAGCCATCTGAGAATTTCGCTTTAATAAAAGATGCGGACTCAGGAACCGGGGGAGAAGAGTCACGTTTCCTATCCTGTTTTCCCATCCTGAAACTGGAGATGCCATGTTTCAAGGTGACATTACCGGGGCTGCTTTTGCTAGAGACCTCACCAGTGACAGGAGTTGAATTCCTATTCCTTTGTCTCGGTGTGTTTCGTGCAATGGAAGGTGGATGAGGTTGCGCTTGGATGGAAATCAAATGGGGTTTGCTCTCTGGTACATGGAAGGATATTGGGGTTGCAACATGAAAACATGTATCGGCAGAATACTCCTCGTCTGAGGGCAGTGCCTCAGAGCAAAAGGATTGAAAGTATTGCATAGCTTCCTCTTCCGTGACATGGTTCGATACGAATATAGGTTCTGCAACCGGAAATAACGTTGGAGAAGCTGATATAGATTTGGGAGAACTTATCGAAGCAATCTCGGTTGCGTGTGATTTGAGAGGAGGCATCAAGGTGATGCAACTATCACGGTTAGCGGTGCTGATTGACCCCGATCCTGAAATGTCTGTAACTATGAAAGGTGGGATCGGAATTTCCAACGAAAACGTAATCTCCGATGCATAGCTCTTGTTGGTAATCGAGCATTGGGGTGAATCAAAGCCCACTTCTTCGAATTCAGAAACCCCAGTATCACTGTCATTCTCTATAGGAGAGAAAAGATATTCCGTGCGCTCAGACACTTCGGCCTCCGACACATCCTCTTCCTCGGATTCGTATCTCGGTTTTATATTGGTCCCAATATCGGCAACGTCCATTGAAGGTCTCGGACTACCGAATTTCTCATAAAGCTTAGCTGAACTGAACGCCCCTTCAGTGACGGAACCCATGGGCGTATCGAAGCTTGGTCCTCCAGTTAAGGACAGTTTTAATCTGGAATACGACACGGGGATAAGATAATTGATGAAAATAAACGGAAAATTACATAGATAGATAGATAGATAACGGCACGACAAGTAAAATAACCAAGTTGAGGGGTGATCACCGGAACGAAAAAATGGATATACTGATATCAAGTTAGCATCAGGCAAAGCTGATTGCGGTTCAAGTTCGAGGTGGAAGCTCACCAGATAGCCGTTCAAGATCATCTGGGAGGGAGGAGCTTCATAAACAAATCCACGCAACAAGCCCCAGAGGCACAGAGCCAAACTTGCTCTATCGCTAGGGACCGACGACCATGTCTGGGCTGTAAAGGAGGGAAACCCAAACACAAAGGGATTGTATCAGATAAGAGGACCCTGTTCAGGGCGTGTATGAGGAGTCAGGCCCTGCACAAATCCGCAGATCCCAAACAGCGGGGACCGCAGGGCGTGGGTCAGGGAATAATATATCCCTGAAGTCGGTCAAGAGCTCGCCGCCTCCCCCTCTCCGTAGGGAGCAGGGACACCATCCTGCTTGGAATAAGTTGCATTACTATTCTGCTTGGTATGGGATACACGAAGCGCCAGTAGCTGCTCTCCAGATCATGATTCGGTTGGCTTGAGGAGGGCTGCAGAACAAGATACTGATTGGACCACGTCCTGCCTGGGTAAGAAGGCTGGGCAGGAGGCCGTCCCAGGCACCGCGGGACTGTCTACCAAATAAGTTAGCAATTGCATGGCAAAATAGCTGGAGTTGGAGGTGGTATTGCCAACCCATCATCATTGACCCCAGAGCGTAGAGGGAACCGGACGTGCCGGCAGCCAAAAAGACGCTTCTCGCCAGCCAAGCCTCAAGAGACCTCTCCCCTAACCCAAGTCATCCGCCCCACGAGCCGCCAATGAAAAGACGGCCGGGCTGCAGATGGCTTCGAAGATGAGACATTCCGACGACGCCAGTTTAGACCAGAGGGGGGCCCAGCGTGCCGAATCGAACTCATCGTCGGAGTTCAATTTGTGAATATAGGCTCGGTTCGCACGGGAGTCTGAATTAAGTTAGCAGCGCAAAAGATTTCCTTGCACCGGCCCGCAGTTATTTCGCACAAAGATGGGTGAGCCTTGGTCTTACAAGTTACAGATAATATCAAAATCCCCTGTTTTTCTGCATAAATTAAGCAACGCATGCATCTAGCAGCCTTGCCCGAGAGGCCAGACAACCCAACTCCCTACGCGTGTGGTGTGCAGCCAAACAGCACCAATAACTAAACAATAAGAATCCTTATCCCATGTAGGGGCATGCTGGGGATAATCATAAGCCAGATTGTCGTGTCTCCAGTCAAACTCTGCTATAACATACTTCTTTTCTGGGGCTTCTTCTACCAACAATCGAGGAAAATGTGGAGATGCAAGTGTTCTTCTTATGGGTTGGCTGACCCCTCGGAACGAATCGACGAGTTCAAGTTCATGGGTAGAGACGATCAATCTCTTAACTTGACACCGCCAAAACGGAGGGATCAACAAATTTCTTGTCTTGTCCCAGGCATGCTACAAGCCTAACAACGGGACGTAACAGTAGTAGTGTCAGGCCTCAGAGGGAGATTCTTTTTGGGAGTCCGCCATCCGAACATTGTAGTTAGTAAGTCAGTGGAAATCCCTCGCTGGAGAAACCAGCCCGCTGCTTTCTCATTCGCCCCAGCGACTGTTTAGTCCATGTCGGACAACGGGGCACATTTTCTTCAACAACTGGCTGTGCCACGTCCACAGCGATCGGCTTCGGTGGGGTTTATCAAGGTCACAGCAATATATGATCCAAAGGTCCGATGTGGCTGCAGATCTTCCGATTTTTTACTCCGAAAATGACCAAGCAAGTTCACCACACCGACAACGACGACACTCAGCTTCCAGCCATGTTTGCATGTTTGCTGAGAAGATATCGACGGATTCCCTTCTCGTCGCCGGTTGACCATATTCCTCCTCACCCCTACCAGCTAATCCGAGCGGATATCTGTGAATCGCGTTTCATATGCTCTGGTGCGTGATGAGAATACGCTGCGATTCGATGGGTTGAAAATGTGCTACCCCTCCCAATCCCAAAGATGGAGAGCAATATATTGAATGATTATTCCCCCCCTTCTTCTGACGTGATCTTTCACTATTCCTGAAGCTGTTACGGTACCCGTTTCATCAGCGTCCAAGATCACTGCGGTAATGGCTGAAACCTTGTAACTATATGTTCCCTCAAAGGGTTTCAACGACAACCCAGTAAGATGGCATCGATCTGCAAATTCCTTCACGTAGATTGTTTGATGGAACCAGCGTTTTTCAGCTCTTCCAAGTGCGGGACAACAAGGGCCATCTACTGACTTCTGGTTACAATGACGTATGTAACTTATATAATGGGTTGTCCCGTTTCTGAAGCTCCCGAAAACCTGGAAACCATATATCATCCAACATGAAGTAAATTTCTTTCCTCACCGTGTTCCTCCTGTAGAGCCAGGATTCCGCGATGTCTTGACAGAGATCAGTGAGCGGCTTGGGGCATACGGGACAAGAACAACACCACAGCTAACTGCCCTCCTCCGCCATGACAAACCCGCTGTGTATCGTCAAGGAGTTCTCTGTAATCGGATTTGGCCGCTGCTCTACTGACGCCATTATTATGGCTGCCCTGGTCTATATTATATTCGGGCGAATAATGTCATAGATATCTCATCAGCCCGTGGTTCGGCGGATGAATAAGTAGCTTTTGCTTCCTATGAATCGCTTGCCGCTCGCAATTAATTGGGTGCCCCCCTCTACCTACAGCTTACACTAATATCCCCTTTTCTCAGATGTAGTTATATCGTCCAACTATGAGACTGGTATGTGCTTACTGTTTTTCTCCAAATCCTCCCTCCAACCCCCCTTATTCCTTCAGCACTATTCTGTGATCCTCATCCGCATACATTCCTAAGGATGTAAAACTTACTCGTCCCTGTAACGGGAGAACATAATTATCCCAAGAGCAAAATTGGAACCTGAAACAAACAACTTCCACGAAGGCATACAAACGCACATGATATGCGCGAGAGGAGCGAGCAGGGGTTCGATGGGAGCTGGAGGAGCTGGAGCGGTAGAGAGGGGATTTATACACACACGAAATGAAAATGAGAGGAGCGATAGGTTATTTCAGGAGGTTGTGGGATATCTAAGGTGTAGAGGGATTAGGGGCAAGGCTGAGATGGTACGACGGTTGGTTGGACAGAGAGGCGAAGTGTATTTTAGATCGAAGCACCTAAATTCAGACAGGTTCGGTAGCGAATAAATCCGCCAATGAAGACATGTACCGTTCTCTCATGGATAAACGGTGATTCTGTCCCCACTCCCCTCCTCCAACCCCTCACATTGGGCTCCGGCTGCCCGCTAAGGAGGCAATGCGGAATCGAATTCCAGCCCTCGAGTTGAATCTTAGGATAGTCATTACACACACGGTCATGAAATCCAAACAAAGACAGAGTACGTACATATACCCATTCACGTAAATATGCAGGAGAATGCAAGGAGATATATGATGTTATATTCTCTTAAAAATCCCAAGCAGAAAAAAAGAGGGTGAAAATAGGAAAACATTCGCTTCCTTCTCCCCCTTCTTCCCCATTAAGCTCTTTCATAGATTAAGTACAATACATTTCCAGGTCTGTAACAGTATGGCACATACAAATCGCAGCCTTCACTCCAGTCTCCGACTCCCATTCAAAAAGGAAAAAGAAAACCCAACCCCCCGTCCTGTCTCTGGCTTTATCGTACCCTAAAAAAGAGAATCAAATATATACGGAAATATTATATAAAATGGTAACATCAAGAGAGAAACAAACAAGTAGAACAGAGGTTGTAAATATGGCAAGAAAATTGGGATAGGTAAATAGAAAAGGATATGAAAAGGAAAGAGAGAAAGAAAGAAAGAAAGAAAGAAAGAGATTAAGACCAGTATGAAAAGAAGAGTTGCCACGTAAATACCGAAAATATTGTAAGAAGGGAAATAAAGAGGAATCTATCCTATGTAGACATGAAAGGTCAAAGGAAGGCAGTGAAACGAAAGAGAAGGAATGTTAGAATATAGAACATTTGCAACTCAACATAAAGAGAGGAAGTCCACGAAAGCGTCCTAAATGAGGATAACTTTGCCACCAGAAACAACAACGAAAGTTGAAAACTTGGTCGAGCAAGAGACTGCCAAAACCGCACCGGAATTCACATCGGGACTGGAGTCAGGGGATGTGATAATTGGCGAGGGGACGGGTCCCAGGGAGGTGGAGGTATATCGCATTTCATCCCTCCCCACTCCCCCAAAACTTCCACCAACAAAAATAACACCATATCCTCATCCCATTCGTCACCACATCATCCATATGTACATGGCGTCTGTCTATGGCTGACAGATAGTGCCAATTTTTCCATCTTCTCTTTAAACCACTTCCACATCTTTTTAACTTTCTTTGTAAAACCGAGCCGTGAGGAACGAAGTCTTGTTCTGGTGGAATCGAATTGAACCGTTGATGCGGCTTGTTATAGTTGGCATAGAATAAAGAATGGAGAAAGCCGGGGGTTAAGGAAGGAAGGCGTCTGTAGTAGGAAGGTCCGTAAGATAACATGATTGCGCGTGGCGTGAGGGCTATGACCTCATTATCAAATCCAGCTGGCAGGCGTAGCAGCCACCAAAAGATCCAAAAAGAAAAAGAAAAGAAAAGAAAATATAGAACCCTTTTTGAAAGAAATAGAAAGTGGTAAAACCAAAAGCGCACATGCAAATCACCAAGAAAGAATTTTTGATTACTTAATTTTCGATTTTCTGAATGGTTCGATCGTTTCGATCCCCGATCCAATGCCAAAAAAGGGAGAGAAAGAAATAGATAATAGATAGGTTAAATATAACAAATGTTCTTGAAGGAAAAAGAAAAGCAACACGCATAACACTCTGTCCGAGTTCATTTGGCGAGGATGCAACTTTAAAAAAGAGCATCATCCTCTCTCCCTCTTCATTTTGTGTCTCGCCATTCAGCATATTTTATGCTTTTCTTGACCGCGTAACAGGTCCATTGGATCGGGCAGAGGAAACCGCCGAGCCATTCGTATGCGCATGGCCATTGATAGTCGCAGCAGCAGCAGTGGTAGCCTTTCCACCAACGGATGGGATTTCCAAGTTCCGCATATCGATGACGGCCTGCTTGCCGGTGTTTCTGCGCGGGCGGCCGGATTTGGCTGCTTTCTTGTATGTGGCAAAGTAGAAGGAGATGAAGAGGAGAAGATAGGAGCTGAGTATGATTAGGCCGGAGATAGCGGCGAATTCTTCGCCGGCGCAGCCGCCTGCGTTGGGCAGGTGGGGGAAATAGGTGGAGGTGAAGTAGGTGTATGAGGCGAAGTAGACGAAGACTATAAGTAGGCAAGCGAGGTTAGACCGGGGGGGGGGGTTTGGTTTTTTGTAGGATTTGGAAAATGAGGGGGAAGGGAAGCAATGGACATTATAGGAGTAGGTGTGCTTACCCAAGTCAATGACAAACTGCACGATCTGGAGGATTGTAACCCATTGCTTCCACCAGATGCGGACGCCACGGGCACTCTGGAAATAGTACCAGTACATGACGACATGGACAAGGAGGTTGAGGGTGATGGGTACCCATGAGACAGCGGTGTGGCCGATGAGTTGGGTGTAACAGAGGAGAGCTGTGGCGCCATGGTGGTAGGTATGGAGGAAAGTGAGGGGTTTCTTCTTGAGGACCAAGAAGACGGTGTCTAGCAGCTCGAGGTATTTAGTGAGGTAGTTCAACTATACGTCGTCGAGAATGTTAGCGGTGGGGAAGTATAATAGATTTTGGAAAACACAACGCAAAATAAAACACAAATTATGCTGAGAAAGAGGGAAATATATAGCCAATGGGGAGAGACGGAAAGGTGTAAGGATAATTAAGAAATAAAAACGGTGCACATACATAGTACAAGACCACCAAGGGGTGGGTCCATCCCCCATCATGATTGCATATCGCGAAAAAGATACCCTTCCTCCACAATGTCGGTAGCAGCTGTTCAATAAACAGCGCCAGCAGTGTCCCGCTAATCAGCGTCAGGAATAGATTGTGTATGAGGAAAATACCCTTCAGCTTCATAGCAGGACGGTTTCTCATGATCTCGCGGCCGCCGAAGACGATAACATAGTAGGATGCGAGGCCGATGAGGGTTTCGTTTAGAGTCGACATGGGTGTCTGGGACTGTTTGAAGGTAAATTTATCTGGCGAGAAGCCTGCGATAGCCGTGTAGACTTTGGAGAAGAGGGGCCATAGCTCGATGCCAAAAGGGCGGTCGATGGATGCGAGGGGGATGGCGCTAAGATCGAACATGATCGATTGACTGAGAGTTTTGGAGGAGGGAATCAAGAGTAATTGAGGGTTGAATGACGCCGTGAATTAATGAGGAGGAATCAAGGGGTGAGGCCGGTGGAGACACATATATTCGTACAATTGGGACCAAAAATAATGACTCGCAGATGGGATTGAAGAAGGAAATAGTTGGAATTAATATAGCTTTCTTTTTTTTTTTATCGAATAGCGCATCAAGTTATGGATATCCCAAATAATCGACGCGATCTGCGTGGGAGCAGCCGAAAAAAAAGTATATGTATATATATATATATATATATATATAAATAAATAATAAAACGTAACTGGCCAGGGATGGGTCGACTAAGGAGTGACGAGAAGAGAGAAAGGAAAGGAAGAAGAAAGACGGGGAGGAATTAGCAGGTGGCGCAGAAAAAGAGGACGAGGAGGAAGAAAGAGGAGAACAAGAAGAAGAGGAAGAAGGAAGAAGAAGAAGGAAGAAGAAGAAGAAGAAGGGGAAGAAGACAACAGCAAAACTCCAAGAGGAGGGAGATTGAAGCGTTGAAGGACGAGAGGTTGGCAGTTGGGAGAAGAACGAGAAGAGGAAGAGAAAACAAAAAGACGAGCAAGAAAAAAAAAATGACGAGGATCAGACAGGAATTTGGGGTTGGGAGAGCGTCACTGTACGGTACCGTACGGTATGGTTGAGCAGTTTATGGGGTATTTAGCCGTATTGGACGCCAAGGCCGAGAGAGCCAGAGGGAATCCAAGGTCCGGTATTATCAGGGCATGTGAAAGGAGGCCGTTGTACGGAGTAACTTGGGGGGTACAGTACAGAAATACAATGCATACAGTACGACACTAATTCGGATCGGGTTAGGGGGGCCACCGATCTGAGGCTGATGTAAATTTTAGAGTAGAGAAAAGGGAGGGAGAAAGAAGCAATGGGAAAAATGGGTATAAAATGAGTATCTGATGTGGTGGTATTGGTTTAGATCGATAAAAACAATGTCATGTTGCTGTGGTTGGTTGGTTGACACCTCTAAGGTTGCCGCAGCGAACCTGGAAGCGAAAATAAGCATAAATCGAGGTTGGGTTAGTTTAAAATTTGCACGGACTGGGATATCTGTCCAGTAACCTGTCTGAGAGACAGATGGAAGTCAATAATATGTCCATGTATTTTCAGGAGGATAGAGATATGATTTTGATCCGGACAGAATTATCAAAAAGTGTGGAAGACAAAGAGTTTGACATGTAAGGAGTGTCCTTGGCGGGAACCGGGTATACATATATATTATTGATGGGTGGTAGTCTTGACTGAGCATCAACTGAATAGACGCTGAAGTAATGGCATAATAAAGTACCATTCACCCAGGAGGAGTAGTGCAACCAGGGGCTGACATTGATATACCAAGTTGCAGCATATTCGTCCTATCGTCGGTGTATGCTCTAATAAATGCTGCAACGAAGAAATCGAGAACAGCCACACTACGGAGCACCGCCAACAACAGTCGCCAGCCACACCCTCCTCCTTCCTACGCTAAACCCCTTCCAGTGCGCATCCGCTCCCACCAACTCACACCACTCGAATCCTGTATCCCACCCCAAGTTAAAGACGTAGGCTGCCGTCGTTGTCCCCAACGACTCCGTTTCCTTCAACTCCACTTTCCAACCATCACCCCCAGTTCCCATTCCAATTCCAACCTCCAGTCCCAATGATGTCCTCCACCACCTTCTTCCGGCTCGCCTCGCGCACCGCTCCCGTCAATGTTTTCAGAGCGTCCTACTCAGCCCGTTCAAGGGCGGCGACAACACCCGTCGTCGCCTCCACCGCTGCTCCCGCCATTGTCGCCTTTGGCGGTCTCAGCAGCTTCAGCACGACCTCGAGATGTGCTGGGCATAGTGCTGCACATGAGGAGGAAACCTTTGAGGAGTTTTCGGCTAGGTAAGAGTTCTAGTCTTTGCGTGGTGTGAGTGAGAGAGAGGGAGGGAGAGAGAGAGAGAGAGAGAGAAGGAAGGAGAGGGGGAATGCATATGATATGATTTTTGATATAAGATGAGATGGTGATATATGTCGGGTCGGGAGGGATGGCAATGCTCAACCAATGCAATTGGGTGTATTTTTCTTCTGTATCTACTTTGGCTGGGAAATGATACATACATACATATATATTTCATGACTGATCCGGTCCCAATTGCACAGGTACGAAAAAGAATTCGATGCCGTTCAGGATGTCTTCGAACTTCAGGTATATAGACTATTCCCCGCTCCCTTTCTATCTACCCGCAATCACGCCTCAATGGAAAAATCTCACTTGATATGTTTCCCAACACATGCCAAATGACCCGTCTCAAAACCACAGCGAAACCTTAACAATGCCTTCGCATACGATCTCGTCCCCTCCGTAAGCGTCATGACCGCCGCCCTCAAGGCTGCACGGAGGGTCAACGACTTCCCCACCGCCGTCCGGATCTTTGAAGGTGCGTATCCACCCACCTCTTTTCCTCTGCAATCGCATGATATATATATATATATATATGTATGTGTGCCCAGACTAACATTTAAAAATAACAGGCATCAAAGCCAAAGTCGAAAACAAAGGTCAATACGAAATGTACCTGGAAGAACTCAAGGGTCTCCGAGAGGAACTGGGCGTAACTCTCCAGGAGGAATTATATCCCGAGGAGAAGAAATAGACAGGCGTCCTTGTCTTGAGTGCCGTTTTCCTCACTTTCTCTCTTTCTTCTCTTCCCTGTCTCTTCCTAGAGCCACGATTCCCAGACTTCTCTCCCCACATATCTTCCTGCCATCCTTCCTGCACCCCCCTTTCCTCTCCCTTTTTTTGCACCCTCGATTCTACCTCTCTTAATAAGTACGTAGATGTTTTTAGACGGCTCAGTTGGATTTGGGGGTTTGGCTCCGGTAGTGGGAGGGGTATTTTGTGTATATACGTATAAAATTACTATATCAATGATCCAAAGTTAGCAACAACAAAGACGGAGGAAAATATAGAGAGACCAAGTGGACTGGGCAGCTGGGCATATCTCCAGCTAGGATGGGAATTCTAATGGTGGCGGGGAAGGGAAAGGAAGAAATGAAAGAGAAAGGAGAAAACATTACACACCACTACACAAAACTTGCATATATGTACGTATATAAATTTCAGAAAGGTTGATGGGGGCCCCCTCCTTTTTTTTTTCTTTTAATTTTCCTACCTGCTTTCTCTCTTTTCCTTTTTCTTTCCATTTCATTCAGAAAAAAAAGAAAAGAAAAGAAAAGAGAGAGCAATCCCTTTTCAATGTCTGTACATATGATATATAGTTATGCATGTATGCTCTATCCCCCTCCAATAAGCATCTCTCTCTGATCTAAATGTTTTTTCCCTCCTCTTATCACTTGTATATCCCCTATCATATGTAACATGCCATGACCCAGATGCAAATGTCATTCTTGCCATATCAGACGGCTCTTGATTGTACCCCCTGAAGCATATATGTACAGCACGCATAGGTATACTTCTTTGCAGCCGCATACTTCTTAGGTATCAGCCGTATGTCCACTAACAGCATAGAGCATACGTCAATGTCATCCAATCTAGGCTCGGTAAGAGAAGAAATTCAGACAGACTGGTTCATCGAAAAATGGGAGAACCATTCCAACGCTATTGAATAATAATAGTAATAGTAATAAAATAAAATAAAATAAAATAACCTCTCAATGCTGTTCATTTTCGAAAATATGTAGATTTATATATAATCGCTCTCTCCATGACCATTTTTTGCGTCCCCCATCCCCCTTCCCCCCTCCCCCCTCTCCCACCACCCATCCACTTTCCCCCATTTTATGCATTTTAAAAATGTATTCAACCGTGATGTATGATGAGACGACTTTTTTTTAAACAGTATATATATACAACCATCCGAACAACCATGCTTCAAAAGTGTCTTTTCATCCTGTCGACTCCACCCTCTAGTCTCAATTGCACTCTATAATCTTTTATTTGATTTCTACCCAAACAACTGTTCTCCCCCCAAATCCATTCTTCAACTTTCTCATTGTACTAGAAAACATAATAATAATAATAATAATAATAATAATAATAATAATAATAATAATAATAATAATAATAATATGTTTATGTATATATGTATGTATGAATATCAGGGAACACTAATCACGCCCACAACGGCGGATGAATATACTCCGCCGCCCGATCCATCAAATTCGGCAATGTCCACTCTCCACTCGTCGTGCTCTCAGGCGTATGAGGAGGTAACGACTCCGTCTTCGTAGCTACCAGATTCAGCCCTGCACTGGTCTGTGGAAAACCGCCCGGCCCAACGTTGGGGGTGGATGCTGAAGAAGGTGTCGGCAACGTCCCCGCACCCCCATGGCCCTGGGATGCGTTCTGCTTGTTCTGTATGCAGAAGACAGCGTTGAGCTTCTGGAGCGCGCGAAGTGATTTGGTTAGTGGCTTGGCCCATTGCGTTTGTGTGTGCACGGGCACGGAGACGGGGACTGGGGCTGTGGAGGCGATGGAGACCGGGTCGAAGCATGGGGTGGAGATGTTAGTGGTGCCTTTGATGACTTCGGAGTGTTCGAGTTTTGGGGCTCCGTAGGATTGATGCGGTGATGTCATGTCGCTGCTGGATGGGTTGGTGGTTGAGGCTGCGGTTGTGGTGGTTGATGTAGTGGCAGCTGGAGCGGTGAAGGCGCCCTCGGACGATGCGCGTTCTGCTATCACTGTTTCTAACCGGCGGAGGAGTTGCAGGATGTGCGGGTCGTTTTTGGATTCGCCAATTACGGCGAGGAGGAAGGCGGAGCTGATGGCACGTTGGAGGCCGATCCATGATCGCGATGCCTGGGAGCTGACGGAGTATAATTCTACGTAGGCTTCGATGGTGCCGGCAAGCGCTGCGATGCAGTCCTTGCGTATGGCAACCCAGCTGGCATCCTTTGATTCGGCATTTTTAAGGGCCGGCCGGCAAAGTTCTGATGTTATGTAGGATGAATGTAGTTTCAATCCTAATCTTTCGAGGTGGTCGAAGGGGCTGAGACAGTATTGTGGATCGCGGAGATGTGGAGCTACATCTGCCATGATTCTTTGGAGTTCGTCTCTGTACGCTTGAATGACCGAGACTGACATTTGCGAGTGGGGTGAGAGCATGCGCGCCCTGAGGATTTCCAGGGTGAGTGAGGTCATCAGGCTGAGAGTTTCGAAGTACGAACGGTTTCCTGGTTGTGAGTTTGCATGGTACGGTATATCAGGTTGACTAAATGCCATTGTCGATGGCCTGTCGTATGAGAGCGAAAAGTGGCTGTCTTGCCATGCCATCGACCACCTATATAGAGCAAATACTGATTAGAATCAGGTGGTAAAGGAAAGTATATATGACAAAGCTTACCAAACCCTTCGTCGTATGTACCGCTCATTGGCTGAAAATCTGTTTGCTTCCACATGCAAACCAAGGGCTAGACCCATTCTCAGAGTCATCCCTTTGGTGGAAAAGAAATATTAGCATCCTTACTCCTTCAATTGAAGCTACAGCATTACTATGGAATGTCACTCACCTAGTAAGACGTACGAAACCCCTGGATTCATATTGTAAGAGAGAACATTGCCAATTATGAGCAATGTCTGTATGGCTTCGAGGGTGGGTTGGGAAAGGAAATTTGTCATTCGTAGAAACTGATATGAACAGCATACTATATACGCATTAGGTATGGGGTTGAGGAGAGGTTTGCTCTTCCTTTTTCACTTTATTCTTCGTTCGTCGTTTAAAACCAGGGGTTGGCGGAGAAGTGACAATGGGAATAGTTTACATACCATACACTTGGGAAGTCAACTCCCTCTCCTTGCTAGGGAGGTCGGATGATTGGCAGCCAGCAGCCAATGCCGCAAATAACAACCCAATAAAAGCAAGAGTCATGCCATAGGGCCTCTCTGTTTCCTCGCTCGAATCTGAATGCAGGTCGGCCCATATTGCCCGATTCTGCAGGAGAGTATCTACATATGCTTCAAACTGTTCGATGTCCGGAATAACCGGATAAATGGTTGCGCCAATATCTCGATAGCGCCGAATGAACCTAAATTGCACAATTAGCAACGCTAATGAACAGGAGATTGGAAAGAATGGACCAAAAAATAAAAATAAAATAAAATAAAAATAAAAATAAAAACAAAAATAAACGGGCAACTGACATCCTACACTGTTCGTCATCTGGTAAAACTGCGCACACTGCGCGGATATCGAATGTAGATATATCTGTTGACCACAGATCAACGAATGGGTAGGTGGCAGTTTCATTGTCGAGTCCTAGCTTTGGAAGAATACCCCCTTCAAGCAGTGCTTGGGAGGCCTCTTGCGACGTACCGGATCGGCCAAGAAGATATGCCAAGACCGACCTCGATCCCAAATGCACAGTCCCGTTCCCCAGCTCATTCGATGCATGGATCCCTTCCCTCTCGGGGAAAGAATCCCCTGAACGGCCTGTCGTAGTAGCACTTGGTATGGTCGACGAAACCACCTGACCAGAATCCACCTGCTCCAGTCCCGCGCGAAGCGACGTGATCATATTTTCCATGTCTTTCAGCTTGGCGCAAACATTGTCCCATTCTTCCTTGGGTATGGAAACCTTGCCAGAGGCGCCAGCCTGGCCTAATGGCAGCTCCGTCGTACTGACTTGCAGACTGCCAACATCTCCCCCACTGCTGGAGGTCGCTGTGGCCGCTGCGGCTGCTGCTGCTACGTACGCTTGAGCAGAAATCTGGCGCTTCTTTGAAGGGCGCTCATAGGAGCATAGATCTGCGTGGTCGCGCTTGACGCAGCCACTACAGGGCAGATTGCGGTCACATTTGACCTTGCGTGTGTGACAGGGATAGCAGGCCTTGGGTTCGCGAGCTTTTCGCTTGGTCCGTATAATCGCATCAACCTGCGCCTGTGGGAGGTCGGAGACTGAGGCGGTAAGAGAAGGAAGAGGTGAGCCAGTGGCACTGGCGTTGAAAGGTAGTGACATCGTCAATTATAATGGAGGAGGCTGCCGTTTAGTAAGGAGGGCATTGGGGCCACTGTCCTTCACAGAGCGAGCGGATCCATACATAAAAATGGGGTGTACTGGTCTCTGTCTTAGAGATGACATTTTGAGTTTTGCTGACGTAAATCACTTCCAGTTCAGGCTAGGGAGTGCGGATCAGCGATTCTCCGAGGACTAAATCTATACGCTGGAAGGATCCAGTTGTGTGGAAGGTTCATACATCATTTCGTCATACAGAGAGTATATAACCTATAGGAAGGCATTTTATTTTATTTATAATTTATCATTTGTCTAGCAATGATCAATTCTATTCTATTTTATCCCAAGAACTCCAATTTAGAAACAAAAGGGCATACAATTTTTATATCTAGGGAGGTATCATATGCTAAATGCTTCACCAAACGGCAGTAAATGCATCGCCAGTCCAAACAAAAAAAGAAGCTAAACAACAATAACCCTAGATCTCTATTTTTTTGCGCCGGTAAACCAAAAAACAAAAACAAAAAGAAACGGAAGGGAAAAAAAGGTTAACTAGTAAAATAAGGTTTAAGAGTGCTCAAACGGATCATGTAAGAAAGGAAAGGAAGGATAGGAGGATGAGTGGCTGAATAAAAGGAGAAGTAGAAGAAGAAGTGGTATAGGTGGATGGAAATCGTGTACTCAAGTTAAAAATCACGATTGAGAGTTGTTTGGATAGGACTATTGTGTTCGACACACATCCCAGCGATGGAACGTGGCAACCGTAGTTGGAAATACTAGTGGCTGGTGGCTTCTTTCTCTGCGTCTGGATTGCCCGGGACATCGACGAATGCGTACTTGGAGTGTTTCCGAATAGCCTCCCCGAAATAAAAGAACGCGAATGGAATCGCGCAGCAAGCCAGTGCAAGGAACGCAATCAGGGTGCTGGCCCACTGATAACCCAATCTGTTATACATCTGGCGGGTGAAGAGAACAACCGAGGCACCCCACATGGACCGCAAAAAGGTTTTGGCAGCAAGGGCGGAGGCAGCCTGGTGTTGATAGGTGTCCACTGCGAATCCTGTTAGCATGACATCATACATCGTGGTTAATCAACATACCCAGATAGTTGTTGCAGGAATTATACAGAAAGATGAATCCGAATCCAACAGGGAATCCTCCGATCATGGGTCCAAACCAATGTAGGCGGGGGTACGAAGTCCACGCGAAAATGAACATTCCGATTGGAATAAACCAACAGGATATCATCATAGGAATCAAACGCATTTCTGCAGGAGGCTTTCCACCATATCTCTGGCTGATCTTTAGGTAATGGTTGTTAATAAGTGGAGCGCAACAGGCGCTGAAGACAACCCCGATTGCGAGAGGAATAAACATCAGTCCAGTAATACCGGCGGAATATCCTTTGCCCTTCTGATAAACAATTGGAAATCTGGAAAGAAAATGTTAGTCCCACTTTTTAAGTTGCATTGGGTAGTTAGGCCAAACCGTCTGGTGAACTTACGCAATGAAAAACATATAGAGAAGGCCGTAGAGGACCGACATATAAATGGAGAAGAGGAAAACGATAGGTTCCAAGAAGAGGAGCTGGAATGGTCGGAAAAGGAACAAGAAGATCTTTTCTCCCAGTGGTCTCGAATCCAGATCCTGTTCCGTCACATATCTGTTGGAGTTTTGCTCTTTTCTCAACTTCTTAGCCCTCTTGGCAAGGAGAGCCGGTGTGTAAGTCTCGGGGACAGTGAACGTGATCAATACCCAGGTCGCTCCCGACAGGATGAGCTGGAGCCAGTAGAGCCATCTCCAACCCTTGCCGTCCGAAAGGAAGCCCCCAACTAGAGGACCCACCGCTGGGCCAATGAATGGAGCGGCACTGAAAGCTGCCATAGGGACGCCGCGCTCTTCGTTCTTCCACATATCCGCTAATGTGCCTCCAACAAGTGTCATTGGGGCACTGAATGCAATACCGGCAATAGCACGGCAGACCACGAGAGTCGCGAAATTTTTGGCAACGGCACAAGGAATCAGGAAGATTACGGCGACTAATAGCGTTGAAACATAGATTGGTTTACGGCCAACCAGTTCTGAGACAGGAGCAAAAACCATTGGACCTGCAGTAGTTTAAAATCAGCAACCAGATACTTCCATTGTATATTTCGAAAAGGGGTTAAAGGTCATGACTTACCAACACCGAAACCGATGACGAAAACCGTGATGGTGAGAAGCGCTACAACTTCGCTGACACGGAACTCTTCTGCGACTTGACCGATACCGGAAGTGATAACACTGCTGTCAAATGCGACAACGAAGCATGTAATAGCAACAACAATCGTGATGTACCATTTGCGCCCCTTGCTCCAATTTTTCGGGTTTTCTGGATCGCTGATTTTAAATGTGACTAGGTCATAATCCTCAACCTTTCCCGTCACATTAGATTTAACCGACTTGATGATACGCCCTTCCCGTGTTTCAGTGGTATATTCTTCAAATGTAGCGGTTGGCCTGAGCTCGCGGAATGGGAGATCTGTTGGATCAGTTGTGCCTGGGAGACCTACAGAGTAGGTCGGCGTGCGTCGCATTGCATTTTCGTTCATTAGATCATCAGACATTTTTGAGATGTTTTGAATGTTAAACCGGGTGAATCTTCCAATACAGCACAATACAAATGGGTCGCAATTAGATGGGGTAAGGGGCCTTGAATGTTATATATATTAGGGGGGCATAAATCTGCCTAGGCAAAACATCATCTCGGTCAGGTCGGTAATTTCCCGGTGGGAATGGGAAAGACGTCAGATAGGACTCATTACCAATGAAACATATGGCTTATTTCCTCTTTCTCGAGGAGAACAGCATACCTAGGCATAAAGTCTCAGACGGGTTTCTTCGACTCGTGCTCGGTTCACCGTCGGTAACTGCTCGGGGATCCACTCGATGATTAGGATCACTGCACCTAACAGCCATTAAGCGCTGTTAAATGCAGACCTATATTATTATTTATTATAGAATAACCTAAGATTTCGGCCTTTGATGCTCTGAATAATACAATTTAGGTTGTGAAGCTTGAATACTGCGAGTAAGGAACCGCAACATGGGATTGTCTGAAGTAAAGCGCGTTAATATAGTTAATGAATCAGGTGATACTTAGAATTGAAGATTTGGGTCCAACCACAAATCAAACTAGAAAAGTCTCAGACGTCAGCATCGGAACAAACAAAGCATCCGGAAACAAGACATGAACGTTTTGTCCTACTTTTTCCGTTTTTGAAAAAGAAAATTGCACACACATACCTCACCAAAATATTCCTTACTCCTGCCGATTACCTAGGCACACTCCAGGAAGGACCTTCATGATCTCTGAGGTCTTATTGAATATTAATGTTGGCACTGGCAGGTAACATACTTGCGTTGCAGGGAAAGGGTTTGGAGCTTATCACTCTATCAGCATCACGGAGATTTAGAAATCGAATTTTAGGGTTGCAGATAGGGCCTAACCAAGCGGGGCGTGAAATCCGAAGATCAATTAACTAAACTGGGTCCCATCCGGATCAAACGGCCCAAGAATCTGACGTTTCTCATTCCACACATGGACAATGGTTGATTGCTCCCTAGATTGGCGATTCGAGCCTCATGATATAAAATTTTTGGCAGGTAATTAATGTAAGCTGGAGCTAGGTCGTTCGAGACTTCAGTTTGTTCGGACTTGAGCTTTCCGGGGGTGAATGATTTTCGGGATTACATCATGTTCGGTGTCACACCACGGATCGGTGAGCCGACAAATGTTTGTTATTGTAGGAAAAGTTGGCCTTAGCGTGTGGTTCAAGCTTTTCTTAGATGCCGCCACCTTCTCAGGGAACTTGAGCCGCTAGGGGTATCACGTGGTCTCCAGACTCTTGGCTTCCGAATACTTCACAGACTAACATCACCTTTTCTTTGGCTTATTTTGCTAGGGGAAGGCCCACGAAATGCTGGAATTCTCAAGAGGTTGCTATATATCTTGCGATAACCTCCAATGGGGTCAAAGCTACAAGTGGAGACGTCTGTTCTGCCGCTTGTCTGGCTGCGACGCAAGTTATGTATCAAAGCGCCAAAGGAGAGTATGCTCGTCGTTGGCTGACTCATTCAAAATGGGAGGAGGTCAACCATCCATCAAGTAAAGGTATAACTGCCTATATCGTTTCAGTTATCCAAGCCCGCGGTGGTGGGGTGTAGGTCCGGGGGCGTTATGATACACTGAATGATATCTATTGTCCTAGTCAGTCACTTTGATTGGTGCGGATTATCTAGAAGTAATCTTGGTAATCTAATGTTGCCAACGTGTCTCGGAGCACCTATGGCTTTAAGAGAAATACCACATGGTTGTGGAGAGCACATCGATACATTCTTGATTGCCAGACCAGTGTGTTTGTAGGAGTAAGTTATGCAGAATTGTGCACCAAACATGTGACCGTAAAGCCGGTAACCACTACTTCTTGATTTGCATATGAAATGAAGTAGTATCTGCTGTACTTAAAGCTACTGCTCGGGCACTTTAAGCATCAGGAGTTACCAACCAAGATAGAGCGGCGTATCGGAATCTAACAAGACTCATGCAGAGACATATACTTCTCGGAAGGGGGCTCTGCAGGACCTGCAACAACAAACGAATGTAGTGGACGAGATAGTGCACCGCTAGAAATGAACTGACGTTCCATGTTTCGGAGAGACAGACTGCTTGCTCTTCTTCTTTCGACTGTTGGGGGATGAATATGATATAATACTATGATGAACTGACGTTGAGAAAAGCCAAACGCCCAAGTCGGACCCCGCTTGGACACGGACTGAGAACCACGTGATCTAATCTGAACAATGGAGGCTGACTCATCCATTTGGATGCGACCTCTAACCTACTTAGGTTAGCTCATAATCGCGAACCGAGTTTATCAGCACGTGATCTGAAGACGAAATTCTTTGCGAACATTTTCTGTTCCAAACGTTGACTGGTTGGGACAGCAAGAAGAAGCAGAAGAGACGAGATTGTTGCTGATGCAAGGCCAGCAATTGGTTAGATAGCATTGCTTCTTTTCGAAAACTCTAGGGCTAAAGGTTTCCCGCATCGAATGCACTTTTCTTGAAGCGTGTCCGTTACACTCTTGAGTGAGTCCGGAAGCTGCGCGGGATACCTTTTGGCCGCTTTTACCACCGCTGACAGCACCAAATTTTGCTCCGCTGCATTTTGTTAAGATACCGGTTATATTACCTAGTATTTGCGATGGCTTCCTCAAGCTCAAGTTATCTCACAATTCAGGGTTCAATTGCATTTTCCCAATCGCGAAGTCGTTCTATAGCGGAGAGTATCAAAGTGAAAGATGTTCGTGCTCAGTGGGTCCATTATGTTCATGTCACTGGGGATTTGCAGGAGGAGCAGCGGAGAGTGTTAGAGCAGCTTCTACACTACGGAGATATTGTAGGCGTTCCGGCCTCATTTGACCCAGCGGACGGACCATCCGCGGTTTATTACGTTACTCCGCGGATGGGCACCATTTCGCCATGGAGTTCCCAAGCCACTGGCATAGCCCATGTCTGCGGCCTCAAAAGTAACGTAATGCGCATAGAGCGCGGCTTGCAGATATCGTGCCTTTTTACTGATGTCAGCGAGAATTTGGATAAGACTGCTTTGGATGTTCTTCATGATCGAATGACCCAAACAATAAGTAAGGACAGGCCAGATCTCCATCTCATGTTTTCCGAGCATCGGCCTCTTCCTCTTCAAACAATACCTCTCTATGGAGAAGGAAAATCTCCGGTTGAGGTGTTACAGGAGGCAAACACTCGACTTGGTTTGGCATTGGACCAGTCTGAAATCGACTATCTGGTGGACGCCTACGCTCCCAGTGGCCCAGTGCCCCGGCATCCAACCGACGTTGAGCTGTTCATGTTTGCCCAAGTTAACTCTGAGCATTGCCGCCATAAACAATTCAATGCTATCTGGATTATTGATGGTGAAGAGAAGCCAAACAGCTTGTTCGACATGATCAGAAATACCGAAAGGAAACACCCGGAGCACACGATTAGTGCATATAGCGACAATGCTGCAGTCCTAGAAGGAGAAATGGCCGGATATTGGGCCCCCAGCCCGCTCAATGGAGAATGGACACAAACGAAAGAAGTAGTTCATTTCTTGGCCAAAGTTGAAACACACAACCACCCGACTGCAGTCTCACCGTTCCCTGGTGCGGCAACTGGATCTGGAGGAGAGATTCGAGATGAAGGAGCTGTTGGCAAAGGGTCAAAGCCGAAGACGGGTCTTTGTGGTTTCTGTGTTTCGGATCTATTGATCCCCGGCCACAAGCAACCCTGGGAGCTTGACGTCGGGAAGCCCAATCACATCGCGAGTAGCTTGGATATTATGTTAGAGGCTCCTATCGGCAGTGCTGCATTCAACAATGAATTTGGAAGGCCTTGCACCGCAGGCTATTTCCGAACTCTCCTCACCAAAATTGATATCGGGGATGGACGCTCAGAATTTCGCGGTTATCATAAGCCAATCATGATTGCTGGTGGTATTGGAACTGTCCGACCTCAAAATGCGCTTAAAAATGCTCGAGCGGTAAAACCAGGCTCATTTTTGGTGGTCCTTGGAGGACCTGCGATGTTGATCGGCTTGGGTGGAGGTGCCGCCTCCAGCATTACATCTGGCGAAGGTTCCGCAGACTTGGACTTCGCCAGTGTCCAGAGAGGAAACGCAGAAGTCCAGCGGAGAGCACAGGAAGTCATTAATGCTTGCGCCGCCATGGGCGCGGATAACCCCATCAAATTCATCCATGACGTTGGCGCCGGGGGTTTATCAAATGCGTTGCCTGAACTAATCCATGATGCCTGCTTGGGAGCGAAATTCGAGCTCCGTGAAATCGATACTGCTGACAAGGGTATGAGCCCTATGCAAATATGGTGTTGTGAAGCTCAGGAGCGATATGTTATGGCCGTTAGTGAGGAAGGAATGAACAAATTCACAGCGATCGTAAAAAGGGAGCGTTGTGGCTATTCAGTTGTTGGGCGTGGACTGGGTCAACCTGAAGAAGACAGGAGGCTGATTCTAGTTGATCGGGATTCTCAAAACCAACCCGATCCAATTGATCTACCTCTCTCTGTCCTATTCGGCAAACCGCCGAAAATGACTAGGAATGTTACATCTAGACAACTTTCACTTCCTTCATTTGACTCTAGCCTTCAAACTTACCTGCCTAGTATCCTGAAGGAAGACTTGTTTAGCGAAGCAGTCACGCGAGTCTTAAACTTGCCTGCCGTCGGTTCGAAATCATTCCTCATCACCATTGGCGACAGAACTGTAGGAGGGCTCACCGCTAGGGATCAAATGGTTGGGCCCTGGCAAGTTCCTGTCTCAGATGTCTCTGTTACGGCGACATCACTACTGCAGGGGATGCGAACTGGTGAAGCAATGGCAATGGGGGAGAAGCCACTACTTGCTCTGATTTCGTCTGCTGCTTCTGCGAGAATGGCTGTTGCTGAATCCATCATGAATATTGCCGCTGCAGAGCTAATTGGCCGATTGACACGAGTCAAGCTCTCTGCCAACTGGATGTCAGCCAGCAACCATCCTGGAGAAGGTGCCGCGATATACGAAGCAGTCGAAGCCATCGGACTGGGCCTGTGTCCACAACTAGGCATTAGTATTCCTGTTGGGAAGGACTCCATGTCCATGAAAATGAAGTGGAAGGATGAAAAATCACAAGAGCTGCGAGAAGTGACTGCTCCTCTGTCGGTTGTGATATCTGCGTTTGCCCCTGTTGGGGACATTCGGAAGACTTGGACACCAGCTCTTCGCAGCTTTGAGGAAGTGGGAGAGACTGTGCTTATGTTCGTTGATCTATCATTTGGTTGCAAAGCCCTTGGGGGATCATCTCTTGCCCAAGTGTTTGGCCAGGTGGGAAATCAGTGTCCTGATGTTCGTGATGTTGAACTCTTGAAGGACTTTTTCGATGCCACTCAACAACTTCAGGAAGCTGATATTGTCCTTGCATATCATGATAGATCAGATGGAGGCCTTTTTACTACCCTTGCAGAGATGATGTTCGCTGGAAGATGTGGCGTTCAAGTTATGCTGGATGATATATGCCAAAGCTCCGATACTCGCCATGTAATCGAGACTCTGTTCAATGAGGAGCTGGGAGCCGTATTCCAAGTACGCAAAAAGCATGAAACCCAATTTCGCAGCTGCTTCTCAACTTGCGGTCCTCCCCCTGGCTTGATATTCCGAATTGGTCGGGTATCGGAGAAGTCCAAACAGAACCTGGCAATTTATCATGATGCCACTTTGATCTATCGAAACTCTCGCTCCAACCTACAACGGACATGGAGTAGTACATCTTACCAAATGCAACGACTCCGCGACAATCCTGCCGCAGCAGATCAAGAGTACGAAAATATTCTTGATGACCTAGATGCTGGTCTTTCATACAACCTCACCTATGATCCTAAAGAGTCTGCATTGCCATTGATGACTAGTATCACCTCTCGCTTCTCTCCTTTTTCCTCAAAACCCCGTGTCGCAATCCTCCGCGAGCAGGGCGTTAATGGCCAAGCCGAAATGGCATTCGCTTTCGACATGGCCGGTTTCACCGCCGTTGACGTACACATGACAGATATAATCTCCGGACAAGTTTCCCTATCATCCTTTGTCGGCATGGCAGCCTGCGGTGGCTTCTCGTACGGCGACGTCCTAGGTGCCGGCCAAGGCTGGTCGAAATCAGTGCTCCTGCACAAAAACACCAGAGATGAATTCAAATCCTTTTTTGAGCGCCCAGACACTTTCACGCTGGGTGTTTGCAACGGTTGCCAGTTCCTCAGCCGGCTAAAGGAGCTTATCCCAGGCGCCAACGACTGGCCTAGTTTCGACCGCAACGAGAGCGAACAGTACGAAGGCCGTGTCTGCATGGTAGGCATCTACGATCCGGACGCAGCAACACCAAGCGTCTTCTTGCACGGCATGCACGGCTCCAGCTTGCCGATTGCCGTCGCCCACGGTGAGGGGCGGGCATCATTCACGACCTCAGGCTCGGATGCACAGAGTCTTGTGAAACGGAATCTGGTACCAATCCGCTACGTCAATAATACGTCCCTGAAGCCAACGATGAAGTACCCCTTCAATCCCAATGGTAGTCCGGAGGGTATAGCTGGTGTCCGAACTCCTGATGGCAAAGTACTGGCTCTTATGCCGCACCCAGAGCGCACTATTATGGGGGGTGTGGGAAGTTGGATTCCATCCGACAAGATGGAGCAATGGGGCAATATTGGTCCTTGGGGACGAATGTTCTACAGCGCAAGAAGATGGGTTGGCTAAATCACGAAAAGTTTTGGGCCCTTTAAGGCTTTTTAGTGGCTTTTTGGCTGGATGCCTGATTTTGAGGCCCCGTGACTGTGTTGATTTCGTTTTCTTCCTTTTTTCTTCTTTCGTATGGAACGTGTAGTTATCCAAGCCCCGACCTTTGTCATTTGCCCCCATATCATCCCCTCCTTTCTTTGTTGGCAGGCCCCATCATTTCGCATTGATGCACAAAAGTCGCATATTTACATTTATAGAAAATGTACACAGAGAGGCAAGTTTTCAGTTTATAGGAAACGAATACCGTTTCATCCAGGCTTGGAGTTGGGTAAGAACCAGGGGGCAGGGTAACTTGTTAGCAAAATACTTAGTGGAATAAATAACCTTTCATGATAGGTTCAAGGTGCTGAGAGTTAGTTATGCTCAATCAGAATTGAAAACCACCTCTACTCTTCCTCCACTCCAATTTGTCCGCAAGAATTTCCCAGCTCTGTTGTCCATCCACGCGCCCCATACCCCTCAGCCCTGCCGTAATGAATGCACACAACTGTTCAAATTTATCCCGGATGCCAATTAATCGACTCCGGTATGGGGATTCCAGGAATGAGATTGTCACATTTCCCCCGTCACCCGTCATGCTATCATCAGTGTCATCAGTGTCATCAGTGTCATCATCCTCATCCTCATCGGAGCTAGATCCCTTCTCTCGAGACCGGGAACGACGACGGGTGTGGTTCCCGCTGTTCCTATATCGGCGCCCAGTAGACGAATTGAGTGATCTGTGATTTCCCTGATCGAATTGGTTGTCGCCGTGACGCGAGATTTGGATATCGGAAAAATGTATACACAGGTCAAGAAGAGATATAATGGCCTGGTGAATAGGTGCGAGATTGGAAGAGAGTAAACATTGGGCTTCTAGAGACGAGGTATATGATTGATGTGCGGCAATCATCCCGTCCACGTCAGTTGCTTTTGATACCGAGTCCCTCATACTTGCTGTCGAGCTGCAGATCACAAGCTGTGTGAGATGGGCGTAGAGGACGTTTACGAACCAGAGGAGGTGGTGTCGAATGCTGTAACCGAGAACATCATCTCTCTTCTCGCTCTCCGTCTCGGGGTGTAATGAATTACGGAGACGCTGTCGCTCCACGACAAACTTTGCTCGACGTATTTGCATCAGGAAGGCCGAAACACGTCTGTACGCTACAAGGGACTGTTTGGTGATAATATTAGCCACTGGCCAGGGGAGAATATAGTCCATGGAGATGGCTTTCAGGATCTGAACAGAGCGGCAATAGTGTTGGAAATCTCGAAGGCTGATCTGTTTGGATCTAATTACGAGGCGGTTAGGATCGACAGAGGGTAGACTGCCAATTGTTCCTTGAGCAAGCTCAGTGAGGAAGAATCTGTCGTTCCAGGAGTGGATTCCTTTATCGATCAAATCGAATATTTCATGATCAACTATTGAAGTGAGCGACATGTCCTTCCCCATATATATATATTCGAGGGCTTCCAGAGAGACCCATAGTCCACAATTCTTGTTGAGCTGTTCCTGTAACGCTTTCGAAGCAAAGATATGATTTGCCTCCAAGAGACGATCAAAGGAGCATTCCAAGAGTGCTTGAAAAGGTAGCAACGGTGAGAAGTTGTTAAATGAGCTCAAATTCTCAAGGTTAAAATTGAAGCTTCTTGGGGACTCTGGGACGTCTAAATCCCTGCCGAGGTGGCGGAGGAATACTCTGCTTTTGCCGGTGGTAAAAATCTTTTTCGCCGCAGGACGCAGGAAATGTGGTGCGTACAACTGTCCATGGACCTCTTCTTCTAGCACGAACCATTCGTGCCAAAGAGATCTCAAACCTGCCAGTTGTCGTCCTGAGTCGGACACGAAAAATGAGCCTAAACTTTTGTCCAGCTTTCCAGTTTCTAACCATAATATTATGGGTCTCGCATAGGTTTCGAAGCATTTGAAGAATATCTTAGTGACTTGCATAAAACTTTCGTCATCCCCGCATGCCTGTTTCGAGCAAACAAGATCGTATAGTAGATCTAGGCATTCGAATCCTTCATTTGGGGACTGATCTGCCATTCTGTTGATGAGATCAGAGAGTTCACGGAGAATGCGGGTCTTCTCATGAACATGCGAGTAGAGTTGAACTAAACTCAGAGTACAAGACTCCGTTGTTCTGGAGTATTCCACCTCCAAGTTGGATAAAGTCTTGTCAAATTCTGCCAAACAAACCTCCACCTCGCGCTGAAACATTTGCATAAACTGAAGACTCTGAGGGAGTTTTGAAAACTGTCTAATAATGTGCAGTTGGGCTCCGATGGCACTAAATGACCGGAGCAGATTTTCAAATGCTACGGTGGATGCGTGACGCAATTTAAGCCTCCGATCAACCTCAAAGCAGCCGTCCAAATACCAAAACAGAGTGGTTGGAATGCCCTGAAGCATGAAAATCGTTTCTCTGATTACTTGAAACTCAGTAAGATACAAGTCGTCATCTCTAGTTTGTTGACTTGTGTCTGCAACCCTTTGTCTCCATATCTCAAGATCCTGGATGCGCGAGAGTAAGGTCTCATCTTCAACCGTTAAGAAGGTGCTATCCGGGGGCTTGAAATCATCCAGAGGTGATTTGGGACGGTGGGGGATGATTCGCGGGATGGAGACGCCGCTTGATATACTCGAGAGATCATCGTCGGAGGAAACTGCAGCGTAATCTATATCCTGCCAGATACCTTCCTCGTCATTAAGAGGATCGGATGCATAAACGTCGCTCCATGTTAAAGGGAGTGGAGAAGCGGGTCGTTTCAGCAGATCCAAGTCCTCAACCTTGGAAAGCGTTGCAGGTCTATCTGACAGTTCCAGGAGTAAGGATAAGACTTCAGGGACCCGATGGTTCCTCTTCTGGTTAAGCTCATCTAGCCGTGAACTCAGGGCATCAGAGAGAGCATCGTTATCTAAGACTTGGAACTTTTCTTGGAGACCATCAAGCCTCTTTGCAACATCCAGATGGTCTGTTCTGCCAGCATTGTTCTGCTTCAGAGTCCTCTCGACCAGGACTTTTGACCTGTGGAAACGGCGGCTACTCTGTTACGAAAATTAGCAACAGTGAGTGAGAATCAGACAGAAGTGGAGCAATGAACTTGCTTTGTCTGAAATGTTTGTCATTATGATTATGAGCTCGTCCGTCAGCGCGCTGACGGTCGCAGAGAGGGCCATCGTTGCCACGAATCTGCCTGGTTGTTCGGGTAACTAACTGCGCAACGGCAGATGAGACCGTATAACCAATCCCAAAGATATGATCCCCAGTCACCAATAGAGCAAGAGATTCTATATCTACGCGATTGGAGTTCATATTTTCTGATTGTAAATCCGTGGAGTAATATGGAACATTCCTTGATGTTGATAACTACATAAATAATCCACGAGACTTGAAATAACGCACTAGACCGAAACAGGCAGTTGAGGGTCGAGACTTTTCCTGTCCAAAAAAGGCCCCAATCGCCCAACGCCAAACAAATTGACTTGCTTTTGGTTCGAGACATAGTTAGTTTTTAGGCTCCTAATTCGTGCCAACACCAAAAGGTAAAACAAAATCATGCTTAACAGGAAGCGTGCGTTGAGGCGGGGATTACGTTGAAGGATTCAGATCTGGGAACTAGAAGTGAAGCCCCGGCATCCTATGGGACAGTCTATATTCTACTATGTATAGATATCTCCACATCCAAAAATAGTGTTTTGATTTTTGCTCCATTCTTCCATTTTATGGTATCATAGGTGCGACGCAACACACCGCACCTAAGGCACATGGAATATTGCGGTCAACAAAGCTAGACACTGATGTTGTTGTCTTAATGAACTTTGCCCCTTTTTTTCCAACGAGAAAAATGTTATTCAGAACGAAAGGAATCCCCATCAAACCGAGTGCATTCTGCACTGCTTCTTTGGACGAGGAGCTCATCCTTTAACGGACCTTGACTTGGGGGTATAGAATACGCCGAGTATTACTGGGGTTATCAACCCAGGCAGCACCAACGTGTGGAAACTATTAGTTAGTTAGCACGGAAACATACAACCCCCGAACAGTCAGAAAGCATTTTCCATTAATAACTAATAGTTACCACAAGACTCCCATCATCGTAACCACACGGCGCGGCCCCGGATCCGTCGATACGCAAGTGGGGCTGCCATGCGAACCAGAGGCTTCTTTATTTATTCTATGGAGCTTCTGGTGGGAGTTGTGCCGGTCTTTTAGTGACTTCTGGGGTTAGGTATTTGTTGGATGATAATAATAACTTACTCCAGAGCTAATCGTCCAAACCCTTTTTTTTTTGGCAGAGAGTCCGGCGGATACGGAGTTTGTTGTGGGATAGTTGTTGGAATTACGCTCTCCCGCTACCTGGGGCCGCCCTTCGGTAGTGTAGCCAGGTTGGGCTCCAGCTGCACAAATTCGGTTTCCCCGGGAGGAAATAGGCTGCCGTGGATCTGAGCTGACTGTTCAAGCAGATAAGCACGAATTTTCGAGCCCGTTACTCCAAATACCTCTGGTTATACTTAAGGCACATCGGGTAAACAAACTATATCTTGCTCCTATACAATAAGGCGCTAAGCTATTAAAATTGTGGACATATTAACACTGCCAGCCTTCTTGTGATACCAAACTGTTAAATATAAAAATACAAGATCTTCCGTGGGTTTATTTTATAGTGCTTCCACCCGCTAAATCTCTGTTTTCAAATTTAAGACGTTTAAATACAATTTAAATTATAAACACATTCCAGTAAAAGTATTTAAAATAATAAAGAATATGACTTAAAATAACTGATATATATATAAAGAAATAATTAAATAACAAATATATTTTAATTAAATTAAATTAGATATAAATATATATTTATAATTAAAAATGTTTAAAATAATTATAAATTATTTTAAACTAATTATAATTATTAAAAATAAAATAAATATAATTTTTGAATTATTATTATTATTATTATTCATTTTAAATATATACAGTCAAAGATAATGACACTTATCTAAAATTAACTATTTTATAAATCTGAAAATGAGCAATCTTCAGTTTTATCCTGTTTTTTATATAAAGACAGACTCAAAGCTAGAGTCTTGATCATTGAAGTCATTCATGTTATTTGACATTTCTATTATGTCTTCAACAAAGTCTTCAAATTTGTTTTTGACATTAATTCATTCTCTTTACAGTTCATTACAGGTTCATAAGAATTATTCGCTTTCAAGCATTTGCTAAGCCTGTCCCCTGCTAGGTGGCATGTATTTCTTCAATAAATTCAGGCGTTCTACCTACCATGGATTCCAAGTATCCACAAATGCGTCTTGGCACGTCTAAACAATACATGGAGACATTGATATCATGACATTCGCAAGCTTCTTCCAATCAGAAATCAGAGGGCTTCATAACTTCATGATAGAACAATGTTATGTTGTAACTATTGAACTTAGCTAGCCGAAATCTAAAATTTATATTTAAGGTGCACGTGATTAGGGTAGCTACAGTTCGTTAACTAACTAACTAATAACTAACTAGTTAGTTAGTTAGTTAACTAGTTAGTTAGTTAGTTAACTAGTTAGTTATTAGTTAGTTTGTCTAGCCTCGATTAGCTAAGCAAAAATGCTTGGCGGGCAACTGTCCCCTGTCGTCCGTAGAGACAAACGTTCCCAAGGATATCAGGACCACTTGAACTACATCTCTCTCCGTCTTCATCCCCTTATTAACAAACCATTCACGGCGATGCGAATAACAGCAGTAGCAGTATGGCTCTCGCAAGACCTCTTCGACTGTTACTAGCCTCCTGTTTCATCCTCTCTCTTTTCCTCATCTTCCATGTCTCGAAATCGCCCACTGTGTTGACAGCAGGAAAGGGACATTACGACAATGGTCTTAAGAGGGACCCACTGCTAGATCGTGAGTGGGACTTTGCTACTACCATCTACTATCTATAATTCCACGGTTATTGATAGTGTCGCAGCTACAGGAGAGCCGCCCGAACCCCTTTGGAGGGCAAAAGATGATGCCTACGCGCCGGACAACCCGAACTCCGCTCGCATCAACGCAACACTCCTGGTCCTAGTCCGAAATGAAGAACTGGACGAGTTGATCATGACGATGAAAGACTTGGAAAGAACTTGGAATAGCAAGTTTAATTATCCATGGACATTTTTTAACGATAAGGAATTTACAGAGGAGTTCAAGATTCGAACCCAAGCCGAGACAAAAGCAAAATGCAGTTACGGTATGCACGCGTTCGAATCGGCACATTAATGGGGCCCTAATGTTGTTTCCTCTCTAGAATTGATTCCAAAGGAGCACTGGGATGTTCCTGGCTTCATAAATATGGACCTGTACGAAGAGTCCTCTAAAATACTCGAGGAGAAGGGTGTCCAATACGGCAGCATGATGTCATATCATCAGATGTGCCGCTGGAACAGCGGCATGTTCTATAAACACCCTGCTTTAGAGAATGTACAATACTATTGGCGGGTCGAGCCAAAGGTCCATTTCTTCTGCGACGTCGATTACGACGTTTTCCGATACATGCAAGATCACAACAAAACCTATGGCTTCACCATCAATCTCTACGATGCGCCGCAAAGTATACCTACTCTGTGGCCACAGACGCTCAAGTTCCTCGAGGCACATCCCCAATACCTGCACAAAAATAACGCACTGGATTGGCTGGTGGACAATAAACAGAGGCCACAGCATAACAAGAACGCAAATGGCTACTCTACCTGTCATTTCTGGTCCAACTTCGAGATCGCGGATATGTCATTTTTCCGAAGTAAGGCTTATGAAGACTACTTCAACTACTTAGACCTTGCTGGAGGCTTCTTCTACGAAAGATGGGGGGATGCACCAGTTCATTCTATTGGCCTAGGCTTATTCGAGGACAAGAGTAAAATCCATTGGTATGGTATTTTCATTTCCACTCGAATTAGCTGCTGCATGGTCTCACATTATCTAACCATCCAACCTACAACAAAAAAGGTTCCGCGACATTGGCTACCAACACGTGCCATATTTCAACTGTCCCAACTCTCCAAAATGCAAAGGCTGCACCGCAGGCAAATTTTATGCCGGGGATTCATCTCTCCAGTTGGAAGACTGTCGAGCAAATTGGTTCAAATATGTTGGAATGGATTGATTTTCTTGTTTCTCCTACAATATACAATTCAGGAGCATCCCGACGTCCCCCCAATCCCCAACCTTCCAACACACCCTGCTCCGAGACAGCCTTTTAATAATGAGACATGTACCCCTCGAACCTCCCTCTTAACAACGCAGGGAGAGGCTTTTCCCTGCGTTGTGTTTTATCCTTGGCGCTACTCCCAGGCGTGAAAATCCCCTTCCCATCCGGCTCATTTTCCAGCAATAGATTTCTGATAAATTAGCATTTTATTCCTCGATGATACCACATGCAACGCCATGACATTCAGTGTTATCAACGCACATACAAGACGGAATGACAAATTTACATGCATATCAAAGAGCTAATTCCTCCCGTCGCCCCCAAAACCTCTTCACCCACCAGACGAGAAAAGCAAAAAACTTATTGCAGCATTACTTCAAACACACCATTTCACCAGAGAGGGCGCTGAAGGTGTTACGTTCTTCTTGTGTTTCACTTTTTATCTTTTTCAGCGATACTTTCATATGCATTTTGCCTCGGGTAAAAAAGTCTCCGTTCCAAACCTGTTTGTTTCTGCTTTGTTCTTCTGGCATATGTATGTTGCTTTCTCTACGTGTCATTTACACCTGCAGAGCAATTTTCAGCCACTGCAATCCCTTTTCTTTTACAGGGTTTAATTTCTGAGATAATTTTGTAAAATAACATTCTTTTGGCTGTCTATATATATTACCCCGTATATATCTACTTTGGTGTTTTCCTTGTGTGGTTATTATTTGGGACTCACGGGAGGGGGCACTGTTTTAGGACTCTTCTAATATTAGATTACGATATTCTCTTTGCCTCCCGACTCTGTCACTTCCTCATATACTCAGATCGTTGCCAATTTTGACTTTGTATGGCTTCAGTCAATATTTCTACTTGATAAATCAAATGCCGCCAGATGCTCCCAAATTTTACCCAACTCGCGGGGGAGGAGCTTGTTGTGATCCGGTCAAATCTTTGTCAGACATAATATGCAAACCATCAGCCCCGTATTCTTCATCGTTCCTCTATTTAATTGGAATTCGAAATTAGATACTCTTCGAACTATGTTAGGGCAATTATAAAATCCTCGTACCATCGCTTTCTCCACTCTTGGGTGGCAGCCATTATGGTTTGGAGAGGGCTTTTACATGTAAAACCTCGAGGACTCTTATGGGCGGTATTAGTTCAGCTTTGGCCATCAGATCTATAACATCCAGATCCGTATCCAAATGTATCTCCTTCGTCTCGTTCAAAGCAACGAGATAGGTCGGTGGGCCAACATCCGTCGCCCGTACATTACGGAGTAATTTCACGCCATCCGCATTTTATAACTGCCACATCGAAAGGTGGGATAACCATTTGGGATCCACCTGAGATTCCAGACATTCCAAGTGGTTTCAAGATAGAACCTCCACTGAAAAGGACCTGGCCGCCGAACCCATTGCCACGGTCAATATTGTCCTCGAAACGCGTATCGCCAGTAGTTACGAGCAGTGTCCCTTGAAGAACGGAACGTCCAGGGTGTAGCAATCCAAAACGGGCTGATCAGACATCCACAAATGGGTGCAGGTGGGTAAGTCCTGAGCCAGAAGAACGTACATCACATCAAACAAAGGCCACTTCCTTTCACGGTCTTCAGCAGTGCGGAGCAAACGTTGATGCCTCACGTAATAGTCGTCATCCTTGAAGTATAATACCATTTTTCGCAAGTTTGTATGAATCTGGAACCTCAAATGGGTAATTTAGTTAACTAACTAATTAACAAAATGCCCTAAAAACATTCTGCATCACTACTCTATTGAAAACAAAACAGAATCCTCTTCATGCTTCCTATGGGTTCAGATTAGGATGGGCCTCTTGTCAGCTACCGTAACGTAGCGAAAAACCTCTTCTAGTATTATCTACTTCCATTACGAAGCTTTGAAACCTCAACTTCATATCCTGCAGATTACTCTGAAGCACCGGGGATCATGATCTGTATACACTCCTCTACACGCTACATGGCAATAAAATTTCTACAAGATATAAGTAAGCTTTAAAGCATTATTACCAAGACAAATTTGTATTTCATTACGTTTCTGGTTCGCAAGGGGAAAATAAATCCCGCACAAAAGATATTTAAATGCAGAAACGCCAAATCACCTTGCTCTCAATCTCGCACACAAAGTCCCACCAGTGAGATCTCCGATGGAGATTTTAGTCCTCTTTTCTTTATAATTTTTTTTTAATTTATTTTGGTCGAGTTATTCCATTTCCTGTTACAGAAAGAGACTCAGCCATTGACCAAGTTTCTAGTAATAAAGCCACTGTCTCATCCCGCTACTCTTAGTATATGTAGCAAGCAGCAATAAAAATATAAGTTTCATAGGGCAAAAGAGTGATAATTTCGCTGCTCATTTGTTGAATCAAATCTCACTTCTTAGGCTTGAGTGGTCGATTGATGCTCCAAACAACTGCGTATGGCTGAGGAGCTTCCCTGCGAGTGATGCGGAATGCGCGGACAATGATTTGCGTCTCTCCCTCAGGAATACCAGTCCACGTAACTTGTTCGACGTTGTTCACTCTATCGAAATCGACCTCCTCGCCCATGTTCCCGTGCCGTTCCTGGCCATCAGAAGATTTGACAATGAGATCCAAATCATTCTGAAGCTCCGCTCCCGGCGGATCGGACCATACGAGTGTCACTTTCAACGTAGAACCCTCAGCGGCCAATTCACTTGTAAGTTTTGGGATGGTAATGGTGATTGGATTATCTTCGCCCTCGCCCTGGCTCAAGGGCCCGCCTTCTTTGAAACCACCGTTATCTTGTTTGGGTAGAATAATGGAGTTCACGAGATTAACCAAGCCAAACCCGGAATTGTTATTGGGAGATGGACCTGCTTCACTTGGCTTATACTGTCCAACGAGCTCCATAGCGCCGTTGATAAGCAGAGCTTTAACAAGCGCAGCACTGGGATGTTCGGTGCCATTCTTAACCAAGGACTCGCGTACAACTGCAGCACAACCAGCAACTAGAGGAGTTGCCATACTCGTACCGGCAAGAAAAAACCACTGAGGATCTGAGCTTTCCCCGAATTGGTTATCTGCCTGGGCTTTCCTTGATAGGCTAGACAATACGGCGGTTCCGGGAGCAACCACGTCAGGCTTGTAACGCCCCTCTCGTGTAGGTCCACGACTGCTAAATGCAGCCATACCTGCCGGATTATCGGCCATCTTGTCAGTGCGGAAAGGGGTCGAGGGCCAACGGTATCCGTACTTGACTCCGATCTCGGGACGGTTATTTTCACTCGCTCCTACAGTAAGGCAATTCTTCGCTGCTGCCTGTGATCCAATTTGTTGTAGATCAATGACACCGTCAAAGTTGCGGTCGGCACCATCGTTACCAGCAGCAAAAAGAACGAGCATGTCGAGATTATCCCAGATGAATTTGTCTACCTGCGTCGCAGAAGCGTCATAAGGGATCTGACCAAATATCGAGGACGCTCCCCAGGAATTTGTATGAACACGTGCACCTACTTCTCTGTAGGGCACGATAAAAAGGTCCCCCAAATCATCCGGAATCCCACCCAGGCCGTTCGTGGTATCGAGGACAGATTGAAGCGCAAGGGAGGCTCTGGGAGCAGCGCCAGCAATTCTTCCACCCATAGTTTTTGAACTGCCATCGCCTAGGATGGACCCTGAAACGTGGGTGCCATGGCCATCAGGGTCATCAGTTTTGTTGGGCCTACCAAGGGAGTAAAGCTTCTTAACACGACCGGTGAAAGCATGATGAGTATCATCCGTTTTACCAATATCGAAACCAGTGTCACCAATTCCAACAACCTGCCCCTCGCCTGTGTATTCTGTTTCTTCTCCCACAATTTTAGTGTCGCATCCCAGGACCTGCCACGCCTTGTTATTGAACAGAATAAAAGGATGTACTTGTTGGATAAGATAGACTGCGTCAACAGCAGCTACATCATCAAGGTACTGCTGCTGTACTTGAAGGCGGATTTGCCGTGCGGAGACGGCGAGGGAGTCTGGGTCAGCACGAGCAGCCATTGCAACTGCCAATTTGACAGCATCGTTGTTTGGATCGACGTCGTGATGGACGACAATGTTAACTAAATGGAGGCGAGAGGTCTTGGGCACAGGGGTAAATACTGAGATGGGGTTGAAAATAGGGGGCATCGATTTGAGCGACGACTGAACTACGAACTGGTTCAGATAGGGGTTGGCCCAAGAGACAAATGGTAGTGAACGGATCCGCTCCTCCAGGTCGGTGTTTTTGTAGCTGCAAAGGTACGTGTTGGCAGAGACGTATTCCAGGATTTTGACACTACGATTCTCCAGTTTGTCATACTGGTCGTTTGTCAAAGGCTGGGAGGTGTGGATAAGAATGTAGTCTGACTTGGAGGCATCTTCATCGTGCAGACCAAGATCTATCAACTCCTGGAGCTGGTTGACCGGGTCAAACAAGTTGCCGTTGATTGAGATGGTTAACATGGCTGTTGATTCTAGCGGACAGTGATGAGCAGACTAGAGAAATGAGACCGGATGGGAATGTACTTGGAGAGAATGACAGACGACTAAGATAGATATTGAAATGGGACAAGTGACTGGCAAGATATGAATAACGGAAGAGACCAAGATAGATAGACGGAAGAGGTTTGAGAGATATAAGGAAGAAAAAGACAACAATGTAAGAGCAGGAAGAAAATAAATAGGGGAAAAAAGAAAAGAAGAAGAAGAGAAAGAGAAAGAGAAAGAGAAAGAAAAAAGAAAAAAAAAAAAAAAAAAAAAAAAAAAAAAAAAAACATGACGTGGACTCGGGAAGAGGAAAGAGCCGCGACAAGGGGTTAGGAGCACCTTCCTTGCCGCGGCAGGAGCATAGGACGAGGAAAGGGGCTGAGGAGTTAGCCAGCGCGCTTATTCACCCCTATTCAGGACTTCTGTATATCGCCAGGATATGGTATATATGTATGAGGATACATATAGCTGTGCATGCTCCCATATCGGATATGAAGCCTGCAGAAAATTTAACCAAGCTCCTGTAGCGTCACCGTGTATGTAATGCCATACACTCATGGAATCACTAGTGGAATCGCTGCTTCAACAATTAGTCACAACCGGTGCAGGTTGTGGAATCAGGAAACCTGTAAATATGGCTCATCTGTTGGGTTCTTCATTTGTAAGCTCTCTCATCCAGACAGAGATGACAGCATACGTCATTCGAGGACCGAATTCAGATGCCATATTGGAGAAGGGGAGACGATGGAATCCCTCACCAATATCGTAGCTAGACGCTCTCCATTGAGCCGCTTGTTATCGTGATATAAGAGCAGGCACCTGGAGGATAGCCTGGCTTTCTGGTATAGACCAAATGCCAAAAATGGGGAAAAGGGGCTGGTTATATCAGGGAATATTCTTTCTGATCGGAATGGCATAGGCCTCAAACTGAGTGCTGCATCGTTCAATTCAGAGGAATAAGCTTTATCAGGCAGATAAAAAGAACGGTCCAACCAAAACCAAATCACACTTTAACCCCTACAACAACCAAATTCCTCGGACTCTGCCGATACTCAAACACCGTCTCCACCCACGCCTCCTTCACCCCTTCATGCTCGCGCAGAAACAGCCATCGATCCACCACAATCAGAGACTCCACTACCCCAGCGCTAAACGCCATAAGACTCCACGCAATGCTCAGATTCTTTCTATACACCGCATACCGCTCCTCATACCTCGCTAACTCCTCCGCAGACAGCCCAGCCACCTTCTCCCTAATCGCCGCTCCATAGTGCGGATCGCGGGATAATTTCGCAATAGCCGCGCTCGCATATGCAATGAACGAGGTGAAGGCAGCCTTACGCATCGATCCGACAATCAGTGGCGTCCCACTAACCTCCGCCTTCATCCCAGACTCCATTGACACGTCACCAACCGGCGACCCAGGACCAGGTACCGGCACAACACCATAGTCTACCAGAACCCGCTGCAGCAAGGCGCGATAGTAGTGTCTGGTGAAGAAATTCTCACTATCCTCTGGGCCCCAATTATACGGTGCCTGAACCGCCATCATGCGTGCAGTGATGTTGAGCTTGATACCCGTGCCGCCCTCGTGGGTGTAAGTTTCGAAGTATTTGCTCATGGGAAAACCGTGTGGGTCGTAGGCTTTGGAGGTGGCTTCGAGACGTGGGTGGAGAGAGCGGAGAACGGGAAGTTTGTAGGTTACTGGGCCGAGGCGTTCAGTCATGAGGTTGTAGCAGCAGCCGATCATGGCGATGGCAGTGACGGAGGGGTTGAGGAGGAGTGAGCGGATGCCGTGGTGCACGAGATTCCCACAGGAGTGGAGGGATATGACCATGACACGTGCTTGGGGTGGGGACTTGGGTGTTTGGAAGGTTGGCGGTGTGTGCTTGGGACATGTAGATGTACATGTACACTGGTGGGTCGGAGGCGGAGGAGAGGGGGCGGCCTCCACGACGTGTTTAATGATACGTTCAAGATACCCGTCTTGGATGTCATGTTCGATGTAATCCATGGAACCCTTGGAACAGGTGTCCTCCTCGTTCTGTTCTGTGGTACAACCATCGGAACATCCAGGGCATTTCCCAGCATTTGATTCAATCCCAACCTCAGCATGAACCAGCGTTGTCGAATCTTCCCTATCTTCCCCATAAATCTTAACCTGGCCATTCTGCGGAGTTGGCACCGCAGAATCAGAATCCACTTTACCCGTAACGTCCCCAGGGACATCCCCATTGACACTCTCCTTATCCCCTTTCTGATCCCTCACGGCCCTCTCCTTCTTCAGCTTTGCCAATACATCTTTCCCCATCGCAGCACTAATATTATTCCGCCTTCGCTCAATGGCAATAACCCGTCTATTATACGGTTGGCTAGCCAGCGTCCGGCCAAGGTAATTCTGCCCAGAACCAAAGTCAACAATATGTGTAATCCGCTCTCCATCACCTTTCCGATGCTCAATATGATCAGTGAGGGCATCGACATAGCTGGCGAAATGGGCGACTTCATGCACCTTTTTGGGTTTCATACCAACGGCGATATGGCGGGGGATAACATTGCTACAACTTTTAGGGTTGGAATTTCCATTGCGACGCCCGTTCTGCTCAGCATAGTTATTTGTAGGCGTGAACTCCCGCCGCAGGCAATGTCGTCGTATATCATGGATATATTCCAGCAGACTCTGAGGGGGCGTCGGGCCACCCCTCCATTCAACAGCACCCTCTTTTCCCCCACTGCTGTCGCGGCATATATCTCTTCGTAATGATTCTATATCCTCTCTCATGAGCAGATCCAATATCGCACTGATGTCATGGTGCGCGAAGAACTCCCTCCAATCCTGCGGTATGACGGTTGTGTAGAGATCTGGCACGCGGGTGAGGAAATCGAGGATATGTATTCCTCCACAAAAGTTGAGAAAGACATTGGAGGTCGTTGCGAAGGTGAGAAGGGAGGATACGTAGGTGTCCGTGTCGGGCCAGGAGGGGGGAAGTGGGAGCGGGGTTTCAGGGGGCATATCCCAGGGACGAGGTCAATCCGCGGTGTGTATCAGTAAGCGAATTCATGAATGATATAAGATGAAGAACGACGGAGGTAGAATACCCTATGGGAGATGTATTCGGCCCTCAATGGGGTGGCAATATAAATATAGTTACAAAATAAAAAGAATAAGGAGTAAGAGTAGGGGAACAAGAAAAAGAAAAAGAAAAGAATCCGCGCTGGGCTTGGCGCCAAGCTCCTATCTATGTCTGGCTCCCGAGCGGCCGCCCCACATAGACTACCGCATTTGCTGACAACGAGACAGACACAGACTTAGCCAACATCAGCGATTCTTGACGACAACCTCATCTCTACATATACATACACACCACCAGATTCACCACTAGACAGATAAAAATCACAACAGCCATATATGTACATATTTGACATTATATTTATCCTCATGTCCTCCTCAACAGACACAGACCCCTTCCTCCAAGTCCAAGCGTATGTTCCCTCAACCCTTCCCCATATTACCCCGCTAACCATCCCGCGACTTCGAATAGCGACGTCATCTCCGCACTCACAGCAACCCGCCCCCTCTTTTCCTCCTACGTCCGCATACGCTCCCTAGCAACATCCCCCACAAACCCGGAACTCCAGCAAGCCCGCTCGGAGCTTGAAACAACCCTCCAAGACCTCTCCGCCGACCTCAAGGACCTAGTCGAAAGCGTCCGCGTTGTCGAGCACGATCCATACCGCTACGGCCTTGAATTAGACGAAGTAGGCCGCCGACGACAACTAGTCGAAGATGTTGGGAGGGAAATCGAAGAGATGCGCGCAGAGCTTGTGCGGACCGTTACAGCTAGTGCAGTCAAAGGGACAACTGGCGTTCGCGGGCAATCTGGACTACCCGACCCCTCACATTTCGACTATGGACATGATGACCACCTGCTCGACGATGGCGAGCGGGACGACTACTATGCGCAGTTTGAGCAGCAGCGGCAGCAGGAGTTGATGACGGAGCAGGACCAGCAGATTGATGGGGTGTTTCAGACCGTGGGTACACTGCGGCGGCAGGCGGATGATATGGGTCGTGAGCTGGAGGAGCAGACGGAGATGCTGAAGGATGTGGATTCTTTGGCGGATCGGGTTGGGGGGAAGTTGCAGGGTGGGGTTAGGAGGGTGGGGAAGATTATTAGGCGGAATGAGGGTATGTATGGCATGAGTTTAGGTGACTCTGCATTGGGTGCTATACTGACTTTGGTTTAGATACGGCATCAAACTGCTGCATAGCGGTGTTGATTATGGTGTTGATCCTCCTATTAATTTTGGTGATAGTTCTCTAACTATTATTACAGCGAGAAAAATGGTGGCTCTCTTCCCTGTTTTACATTTGGAACTATTTTAACGAAACGGAAGATAATACAAGACAAACGATATCCGAATTCCCACACCAATCATCCAGCTATATCAAACGCATTTCAAAGAGAGAAGACAAAGTAATACAACGAAACGACATATCATGAAGTCTTGACCTTTTTGTGAGGCCTATTACCCTCGTTCTCGTTCTCGTCGTCACTCTTCTTCTCGTCTTCTTCGTCATCATCGCCATTCATCCAGTCCATGTCAAACTCATTATCAGAGCCGAAGTCGTCCTTCTCCTCGAACGATTGAACTGCATCACAAGCCAGTTAACAGGAGACAAAATTTAGAGCAGGAAACACAAATCATCCAACGAAACATACCATAATACTTGAGTGCATTTTCCCACAAGTCCTCGCTCAGCGCAACAGCAAGCTCATCACCATCCGGGAATATCTCCGCATTCATGAGCCCGTCCTCATCATCATCGTCGTCATAATCATCCTCATCTTCCTCCTCACCCTCTTTTCCAGCTTCTTCCTTCTCCTTTTCTTCCCCAACCTCTTCCCCCCCGGCAACCTTCGCCCAATACACCTCATCCTCCTTAACAGCGGCTTCCGACTCCTCAGCCGAAATATCGCGTCCGCGATACCCAAACCACGCAAAGAAACTGATACCAGAGGGTCTCTCATCGTCGTGGTCATGGTCATGGTCATGGTCATGATCATGATTTTCATCATCACTAGAATCCGCATGCAGATGCGCCTCAGCCTCCACCTTCGCCACCTCAGTCACCACCGTCTCATACTCAGATAGCTCCAACCTCTGCTCCACAGTAACCTTCTTCCCCTCACCAACTTTCCTCTCAGCTTCAGCAAGATTACACGCCGCATCCAAAAGCCCCTTTGTTGGATCAACCTCCTTACTTCTCCACTGAATCCTAACAGGCTCCGACACAAGCCCCTCCCACACCCTTCTTCTCCCATTCCTCTCAGACCGCCCAATACTCTTCCTCCAATAAAACTCCTTGACAATCTTCACAATCCCATCTGCACTTGCATTTGCATTCCCATCCGCTCCCGTATCAAACCACTCATTAACCTCCGGGTCCGTCTTAAACTCAAACGTAAAGCGCAAATTACGCGGTTCGCCCTCGTCACCTTTCTCATTTACACTGAAGCGTTCCACGGTGAGGTTTCTGAGACAGCTGCCGATGATATCTGCGTCGGAGGGGAGGATGAACTTGTCAACTTCTTCCGGGGCGTGGGAGAAGACGCGAGGCCAGAAGTCGGTTTCGGTGAGTTTGGCAGTTATGAGGGCTGTGCGGCGGGCGTAGAGTGGGCGGAGGAGGGAGACGGAGGCACGGACTTTTTGTTTTTTATGTCTGTGTTAGATAATAATGCTTGTTTTTCTTTTCCGCTATTCTTCGCATGTCCTTCCATGCATGTATATAGATGTGTATGTGTATGTATGTAATAGATATGAAATCGAATATCTAGCAATTCAAATGTATTATCCAGGGAAGAGAGGAGAAAGAAGGGGAAAAATTGGTGATACGTACGCGCTTTAACCTCAGCGTCGACAATCTCGCGCTCCAGCAGTGCTATTTCGCGGGCTGTTTCTTTAGTGACTGGCGGCTTGCGAGGGAGCTCCGCACGCACGAGGAGCGGGACTCGGCCGTCGGAAGACATTTTCCTTTGTTTTCTTTTAACCTCCCTCTAAAAGACGAATCTAGATGTGAAAATTGGTTAGTTATGTTGGAGTTGGAATTCATGGGTTGAACAGGCGTAGCTGGATGAAGAGATGTAGGATGATGGTCGCATATTTAATAACGACCAACCGCGAAATACTCATGCCGTACATACTTGATATCTCAGGCACAATGCGCAATGGCGAGGAAGAAGACACAAAGGAATGGAAGGGAGATGAAGACAAGCGCGAAAGGATGGGATGATATTGCAAGTTTTCTGCGCCAGCCAACTTTCGTGAAACCGATTTCTTTCACCCTGTTGAACTGTTTAAGTTTTTGAGCAGAAGTGGTTTAACTTAACGTATTTTCACCACTAACTGGATCATGTACTCGCGTAATATAAAACTCTACTTAGTAACCCCCTGAATGACTTTGCATGGTTTCACTCCACAGGCTGCTAGACAGAGAATGTAAAGATGCAAGTCCTGTCTAGGTGTCATACACATGATCTATACGGAGTACAGCTGGAGCAAATGAAATTGTACTTACCTAGCCCCCTAGTGTCTTAGAGGAGAAAAAAATGTATGTATAAAAAAATTAATATTATAGAAAATAAAATTAAACTATTTTTGATTTTAACTTTAAAATAGTTTAAAATTTAGCTTTTTTTTTATTTATTTATCATTCTTTATTATTTTAAATATAGTTATGTTATAACTATTTATTAGCTATTTGATAACTATTTAATAAATAATTATAAAATATATATTTTTTATTATTTTATAATATTAATAGTTTAAGTCTTTTAACTATGAAAGATAAAAAATTAAAAATATTATTATTATTATTTTTATTCTTATTATTCATCATATTATCTTTAATTTTAAAATATTATAAATTTATATTATTTAATATTAATTATTAAATAATTAAATAATTACTATATAGTTTTAAATTATTTATAAATTATTTTTATTACTTTTCCAAAGTTAAATAACTGTTAATATTTTGTTTAAAAACTTTATATCATCATGTTATAGTATATAATCATGCCAATTTGCAACTTACATCTCATGTGAATATGTCACAATAAAATGATAAAAATACTGAAATGATAAAAATCTTGCAATTTAATCATTTTCATCATCTTCATCAATTAATAAATCACTACAATATCAAATAAGAATAAAAATATCAAAGACTGTATTCAAAAAGCTGTCACTTATCATTAAAAAAACTCAAATTTCAAAATACTATCTTTGTTATGAGAATTTAAGATTTTTTATCAATATCTCTGAGTGTGTATCAATAGAAGAAATTTAAATACTGCAAAGATTCTAATTAATAAGAGATTAAATGAAAGTTAGAAGAATGTAATTAAATGATAAGTCAAGCTGTTTGATGAAAAGAATTATTTTCTTACATCTGAACATATTGAAGATTTCACAAATTCAATGCTCAGATATCAGTACATATATTTTATTACCTCTTTTTCAAAAGTGAGTAAGATATAAATTTATAGATTTATTAAATATTTATTTGAATATAAAAAAATAAAATAGAAGTTAATAAATTTCAAAAAAGTAGCTGTTGAAGATATTAAATATATCAATATATAATTTGAATATCTTTGAATTTTATTTGAGCAGTATTAATTTTATACTTATGACATATACAATATTAATGAGATTAAATTTCAAGAAGGGCAAGGATGTAAAGAATAGGTTATAACTGCTTTTAAAGAAGTTAATTTTATGATTTTTTCATTCTTTTTAAAAGATTTGATTATAGTTATTGAATGTGTATTTATGAATAATTATATTATTCTGCTATTGATAATCTTGACCTTTAAAACACACTTGAAGAATTGATATACACAGATAGATTTACTCAGCAATTATAGAATTGCTATATTAGATACTGAATTTACAAATAATAAGATTGAATTTGAATAACTGAAACATTTCAATACTATTATAGAAAAAAGATAGAAGAAAAGTTATTAATTACTTTTAATAAATAATCATGAATCTCATATCACTGAGAAGTTCATACAGTATACAGATCTTTATAAAATAATTCTATATAAATTTTTATTGCATGTCACTCATTTGCTAGAATCTCTAAATAGTTTATTATTTCAGCAATATAAGCATTACTATTCAAAAGCAGTCAACTATGCTGCACATCATGATCTTGTTAAGTATGAAAAACGGCAATTTCTACAAAATCTCTCAGTCAGGTGAAAAGTAGATCTTTAAATTTGATACAATAGCTGTAGAATAAGCTCGATGTGATATATATTCATGGAATTCTGACTAAGTTCTTGATACTTTTAAGCAGTGAATCTCATCATCTTCTTTACTGCAGATTTATGAAGATGAGAATGATTTAGATCATATATTCATCTCTTTCTCTCAGCTATTCTCATCAAAGATAATTTAAAAGCTGAAATATTATATTAATATTATGAAAATACCATGCAAAGTATTAGAAATATTTTTGATTTAAAATTACTTATTTTGATATGTTGTTTGAACAAGATATTCAAAGTAAGTCTAATCAATGCAGAACTTAATGAGCAATAAATCACTGAATTAAAAAACTTTCTCAATATCAGTAAATACTATAGAGCTAAAACAACTTATCATTAGATTCAAATAAAGAGAGTTCTCATTATTAAAGATGTCAATAGAAAAATAAAATAATGTAAGAATAATGAAGTTAAAAAAGAGCAGAATAAAAAGCAATGAAGACTTGAAGTTAATTTTATAAAAATTGACAATCACTCACTCATATCACTGATAGAAGAGAAATTAAATTAATTTAAAAATGACACACATACTGAGAATAATGTAGATAATTTTTTTTATTATAAATTAGCTATTGATTATTGATATAGAGTGCAATAATGAGAATATTATTCAAGATTTTTATCATTTCAGTGTTTTTATCATTTTGATGTGATGCACTTATATGAGATGTGAGTTGCACAGCAGCACAATTACTGTCTGAGATTATTGATTTCAAAGTACTTATACTAGCTACTTATCAACTATTTATCAACTGTTTAATAATTATTTATCAATTCTATGATATTATTAAGTTGTTTAAAGTAGTTATTAATTATTTACTAAGTAATTATCAAATAGTTTTTAAGTATTTATAATTTAGAAATGAGGAGTATAAGAGTATATTTAATTATTTTTTTTGAAATAAACTCTGTATCAATATTAATATAAATTTATCAATTCTATTTTCTTCTTATTATTTTCTCTAGTTCTTTGAATACTATTGAAAATTTTCTTATTTTATTTTTTCAATGATAATAAATAGAAATGAGCAAGGTTTTTCTAGAATAGTTTTGCTGGTGTAAGAACTAAGTAGTTGATAAATGATTTACAGTGTATTGTGAGAGATCTGTTCTGACTAAAATGAGATCAGATCACATAGTGAGGTGGGTCAAGTCTGTACATTCTAAATTGATGGCATTCTGAGAAAAAGTGTGGTCATCCTCAAGATTGACCTTTGCCCACAAAGGCAAAAAGTTTTTTTAAGGAATTTTAATTGATGCATATTTAAGTAGCTTTCAATTCATTAACCCCAGGGCGAGGGAAATTCCCATGGCAGTCTATACAATTCTTTCACATATCACTTTTTTTTCAATTCGCAAGGCTGGGAATTGAGCTTGCAGCGTGCAGGAGGGCGTCCACCGAACGTGGAGCGTGGTAGTATTGGACAATGGCCGGCGTAAAGCAGCTATCGAGCTAGTCGACATCCGGCCTTCTGCTCACTGTTTGAATGTTTAAATGAGGAAAATATTAAAATTATATTGAAATAAAATATCAATAATAGTATCAATTATATTATTATATAAAAATTATAAATATATATATATAATAATTATTTCTATTATTTAATTATTTAAATTTTTGCTTAAATAATATATTTTAAAAATTATAACTTTAAAAAAAAATAAGTTTTAAAATAAAAAAATTATTTAATCAAAAAAAGAATGTTTTATTTTAAAACTTTTTAATAAAAAATTATTAAAATTATTTTAAAGTTTAAAATTTATATTTAAATTTATAAATAAATTGAATTGAACATTTCTTAATGATAATAAATAAATAAATAATTTATATTATAAATATATTTATAATAAAAATTTCTATAATTATTATTATTTTAAATGATTTTTTATTCAATATTTTTATTAAAAAGAAGAAAAAAAGATTTTATAAAAAAACTATAAAAATCAAATTAAAAAGTAATAAAAAACAAGAAAAATTTAATATTATTAAAAAAATAAAAAAAATTATTTTTTATAAAGTTAAAGTAATTTTATTTAACTTAATAAATTTAATATTAAATAAAAGAAAAAAATATATTATTCAGTTATAATTATAATTATACTAACTTTAAATATATAATTAAAATTTATATTTAATAAAAAAATATTAAAAATAAAAATTTTATAAAAATATGTAAATATTATACTTTAATTATAAAGTATAAATAAATTATATTTTTATATTATAATTATAAAAATTTCAATAAAAATTATATATTTTTAGCTTAAATTTATTTTTTCTATTTAACTTATAAAAAAAATTAAAATTTTATAAGAAAATTAGAGAATTATCAGTTCTTATTAAAAATAAAATTAAATCTTTTTTTAGCAATAAAAGTAAAAAAACTTTTAAGTAAAAATAATCTTAGAAAATAAATATTTTATTAAATTAAAACAGACTACTAATTCTATTACTACTAAAGGAAAAACTAGTTTTAAAACTTAAAATTTAATTTTTATGAAATTATAAATAGAAGTAATATTTTTATTTTTTCTTATTTAAATAAAACTATTTTTTAAAAAATTAATTTTATTTTTATTTAAGAAAAAATTATAGTTATTAAAAATTAATATTAAATCATATATTTTAACTTTTCTTGCTTTTTATAATAGAAGATAAATATTAAATTTAAAGTAATAATATATTA